TTCTATTCCTAGAAAGTGTAAAAAAAAAGTAGCAGCTTTTATTCAAGGAGAATGAATAAGATTCTGCTACAAACCTCAAACACAGCAAGTTATTTACACATTGCTGAGGGCAAAAGGACATTTTATTCACCATCCTTTAAATGGATATTTGCTTTGTCAACCGTCATGTGCACAGGTATATATAATAAACACGGCCACAGATAACATTTTGGTTTAAACAAATTGGAAACACTGACAACTGGAATCAACTGATTTAGTTCAACTAGTAACCCACATACCTTCCATCATCATGTGTATGAATGCTAAACATATCTGTTGCAACCAGAGGTAAGTGTTTGAAAGGGGTTTTGTAAGTGGCAAATTAATGTTGGAATCCAACTCTGGTCCACTGGAACAGAAGCAGATTTATATCAGACAGCAGCAGGCTCAATCATAGGAGTTATCTTCCCAATGTCATACTGCCTTTTTCAATGTAATATACTGTAAAGTAAATGATGTGCTCTTGGCAAGATGTAGTTGTGTTCAGTGTTAGCTATTTAGCATTACATAAATGTTCTCCTTTCAGGCTTGGGTTTGTTTGTTTTGGGGGAGGAGGATGTTAACATTTAATCAATTTATTTAAGGAAGTTTTAACAGGTTTAAAAATCATTGACATAAAAATCATGACTGGTGTAGAGAAAGTAGATAAGGAAGTGTTGTTTACTACTTCTCATAACACAAGAACTAGGGGTCACCAAATGGAATTAATAGGCAGCAGGTTTAAAACAAATAAAAGGAAGTATTTCTTCACACAATGCACAGTCAACCTGTCGAACTCCTTGCCAGAGGATGTTGTGAAGGCCAAGACCATAACAGGGTTCAAAAAAGAACTAGATAAATTCATGGAGGATAGGTCCATCAATGGCTATTAGCCAGGATGGGCAGGAATGGTGTCCCTAGCCTCTGTTTGCCAGAAGCTGGGAATGAGCGACAGGGGATGGATCACTTGATGATTACCTGTTCTGTTCATTCCCTCTGGGGCACCTGGCACTGGCCACTGTCGCAAGACAGGATACTGGGCTAGATGGACCTTTGGTCAGACCCAGTATGGCCGTTCTTATGTTCAGTAACTGGCTCTATAGCCACACACCTATGGAAAGATATGGTGTTTCTTGAAAAGTTCATGATGATTTAGTGGATTCCTGGAAACCGCACAGAACAAAAAAATGCTTTCAACTGTCAATCCTAGAGAATATCCACTACATGCTGTCTGATGTTAAAGTTTTGCCATTTGGAAAGGAAAGAGATTTGGGCCACTACGCAGAGCTCTGGGCAGATTTCTGTCCAGCAACTGTCAAGCTGAAGACATGTGAAGTTGCCATGTAGTTTCCTGAGATCTGTATTGCTACTGTTCCCTTGAGTAACAGAAATCCCTTAGTTTTATGTCAGCTGGGACTGCAAACCTAAGGATTTGTTTTGAACACAATGTAGTTTCGGTTCCTTTTGGATATTTTATGATTGCTCAAATATTTATCCACAGCGGAGCATTCATTGGGTCTGAAAGAGAGAGTGAGAATGACTCTCTAGTCCAGTGGTTAGGTCACCTGCCTAGATGGTAGGAAATCCCAAATCCAGTCCTCCTGCTCCAATCACTCTTTCAATATTTATACAAAGTGGAAACAGCGTGAATAGGAAATATTGAGGGAGTCCCTCACCAGAATAGCCCAGAGCTTGAGCACTCTCCTGAGAGGAGAATTGGAACAGGAGTCTCCCTTCACCCACCCTGCCTGAGAGGGGGAAAGTGAACCTGGGTCTCCCACAGCCCAGGTGAGTGCACTAACCACTAGGCTAAGTTATAAGGTGACCACCCACTACTTTTATGTGGAGGAAGGCAGATGCCCAACTCATTGCCGCAAGAAGTGGCTTTGACACATAAGCTGCCTGACTCCATCCAGCTCATAGACTCACAGACTTTAAGGCCAGAAGGGATGATCATGATCATCTAGTCTGACCTCCAGCACATCGCAGGCCACAGAACCTTGCCCACCCATTCCTTTAGTAGGCCCATAGCCTCTGGCTAAGTTACTGGAGTACTTGATCTTGATTTAAAGGCTCCAAGTTTAGAGAATACACCATTTACTCTAGTTCAAACCAGCAAGTGACCCATGCCCCATGCTAGAGAGAAAGGTGAAATACCCCCAGGGTCTCTGCCAATCTGACCTGAGGAAAAATTCCTTCCTGATCCCAAATGTGGCAATCTGTTAGACCCTGAGCATGCTGGCAAGACGTACCAGCCAGACACCTGGACAAAAACTCTCTGTAGTAACTCAGAGTCCTCCCCCTCTAATGTCCCATCTCTGGCTGTTGGGGATACATGGTAATAGCAGTACCAAATGGGTATGATGGGGTATAGAATCCCTGAGTTTACAGATGCATTAAAAACCCTTGTTATTGGACTTGCAATTTTATGTGTCAATTCCTTTAATATTCTTGGATGGAGATTATTTGGGGCCTCCGATTTGGTCCCATTAAGTTTTTCAAGTTTGGTTTTCACCTTGGCTGTGGTAATTTCTACTTTTATAACCTTGTTCCCAGATGGCTGGTTTCTGTGCATAGATTGAGAACAGAGATATGTCCCTCCCTGCAGACCGGATTTAGGGTAGGAGTTAGCACCCCGCCTCTCTTGTTGGCATCTCCTACTGGCTATCTTCGGCAGCTCCCCACCTAGCATGAGGACTCTTGTGAATCATATTCTTAGGCGCCTATCTCTCCCCATTCATTGTTGAGGGAACCCGGGTATCTAACTTGACTTTGTGAATCACAGTGTTGCTTCTGTGATTTTTCTAGGCACCTAAAATATAACTGCTCTGATGCTCAGTGGTACAACACTTACATCCCTTTGTGGATCCCACCCATTGTCTCCATGTATGATTTAACAATAAAAGAAATGGCAAATGAGATCTTTAAAATAGAATGTTTTTTTCTTTTAGTGACTTGAGTGATCCACAGCCAGAAGCTCATCCAAGTGATAACTCTTGCAGTCATGTGGTGGGTAGAGATGCCTGCAGACTTAGCAGGTGAGGCCTCAGAATCACTTAAGAATTCCTCCCACCTTTCGTGTCTGTATGATATTTTAGGAAAATCTCCCCTTCTATGGAGATAAGCATCCCCTTGACCAAGGAAACCACTGTCGTTTCTATCTTTGAAATGATTACTAGGGAATCTTTGGGCTCCTATTACTTGTAAAATTTCAGAGGCTTTCAGTTTAGCCATTTGCTCTGATCAGGAACTTGTGTTCTGATTACAACCTCAAGAGAGGCATTTAAGCAGATGTGAGACCTGGTTTGCTTCAGAAGGGACATTTTCCCCCAGCACCTTTTCCCTTTCATTGGCCAGGTGATGGTCATCAGATTTGGCACAACGAAAGCAGAATTCCTCTTTTTAAGGCTGGTTGTAGGCAAGCCCCAGTTGTAGATTTTGCCTTCACATATCTGAGCTGCCCAGCAACCCCCCTGCTTCTTAGGGAGGGCTCCAGCCTGTGCTCCTCCTAGTAGTTTCCTTGGCAGCAGCACTGTCTGTTCAGCTTCCCACTGGCTAAGTGAGGGGGAATCAGAAAGAGAACAACACTTCTCTCGCAAAGCTGGGCCTTGGGGAAGCAAAGCTTGAACCCCCGGCCTTCTCCCTAAGCAGAAGCACCCTTTGCTTTCAATTGTCACCCAGAGCAGTTCACAGAGCATGGATCAATGCTCATGTAATAAGCAGAGGAGTGTTATTTTCTCTCTGTATTACTGTAGTGCCCGGAGGTCCGCAGAGACAACAAGGCCCCATGGCAGGGGTGCTGGAACAATTTGTACCGTGGGGGTGCTCAGAACCATTGACTCACACTGCAGATCTTGTATATGAGGGAAACCACTTGAAGCCAGGGGGTGCAGCAGCCCTAGCTCCAGTCCCGGCGGCCCACGGTAGGAGGTGCTGTTGTTAGAACCAGTCGCTGCCCCGAAGAGAGGAATGGAAGCGCTGCAGAAACAGCTGGACTCAGGCCGTGTCTCCTTCAAAGCGTCCCCCTCACGAAGAAGCGCCGGCTCTAGCCCCTGCCTCCGGGCGCTGGACTGCGGGCAGGCCCCACTCCTCTGCCCCGGCCAGGTCTGGGCAGCTCCAGGCCCGCCACCCTCCACTGGGGGGCCGGTCCCTGAGCCCCGGAGCAGCGCGGTGGGCTGGGGGCAGGGGCAGAGGTCACTGGGGGGAGCAGAGGGGCGGGACCCGCAGGGTGGGAGCTGGCGCAGGTAGGGCTGGGCGGGGGGCTGGAGAGCCGCCCTCCCGAGGCAGCCACAGTCTGGCCTTACGCCGCCAGCCCTCACCGCCCCATCCCTGCCCCCCATGGCCTCTCGCGGGCCCGAGGGCTGGGGCTCCGCCCGCCCACAGCTCGGTCCCCGCAGGTGGGCTGCGAGCGGCGGAGGAACTCCAGCTGCCGCCGGCTGCCTTCAATTTCGGCGCCACAGCGGCCTCCGGTGGCCGGCAGCTGCACTTGCAGGCGTCCTGCCTCCGGGCGGCTGCGGCGCGGGCCCCAGGGAGCTCCCCGCTCTGCCTGCAGGGGGATGCGCCGCGCCGCGCCACTGCCGCTGAAGTCCCGCTTCGCTCAGGCCGCGGGCATAGCAACCGGACTCGTGCAGTCCTCAGACAGGGCGCTGCCGGCGCTGGGCTGAGCCAAAGCCCAAGGCCGGTGAAGCCCATGGGAAGTCGTGGTTGGGCTTTGGATCAGGCCCACCCGGAGAGCCCTGCCTGTCTCTCGGCTCAATGCAACAGGCGCATTCCCAGCAAGTCCGGCCTCTGGTCTGGCACTAGCCAGGCTTCAGGGAGCAGCCCGCTCAGTGTTTTCCATCGCGGGGCGCTCAAGCCTCTGGGAGAACTTCCTCCAGCTCAGCCGCCCCCAGCGCGGTGGGACATGGCTGTAGAGAGTTTAGCAGCTATTTACTGCCCAGCCCAAGGGAAGTTAATTAGAACAAGACAAATCAACGCTGCACTAAATTTATTCTACATTTTATTTATAAACATACATTAACTATAAAAGCTGTTGCATTTTAGACAATTTTTTCCTACTTTCCAGAGGCATTTCAGAATAAATATTGTAAGTGAAGATTAGTGTCACTGTATGGAACATTAGCCCAACTAGGACAGTAATTCTTGTCCCTGCATATAAGGTGGATCCCTTTTAGCTCACCAACTATTATGTCATGTATGGACAGCTACAGTATGTATTCCATCAATAACACTACAGAGCAGGAGTAAGGAAAACCCACTATGAAAGTTTGGTAGTGAAATACATAAAATGGTTATGACAGTTATCCATGTTCTCTGAAGTAACAAGGTGGTAAATAAGCTTTTGTAAGAGCTAAAAAACATTACATTGTACTTGCTCAGCAACAATACATCACTTTGTGAAACAAACACATTTACGTGGTAGCTCAATGTAGTAAAGCATTATTTTTCCGGCAACCACAAAAAACAAAAAAATCAAACTTGTGTTTGAATTGGAAAAAGCTAGGCCTTAGCCTGACCGAACTGCCATTTGACAGGCTCCAAATGAAAAAAATAAATCAAACAAACACAAACCATTGGCAATTAGCATTTAGAAAATGTTCTGTGCTGGTGACTAGTTGTTCATTATGGAAAAACACTGTGTGGTCTAAGAATGCTGCTTTGTATTAGCTTTGGTACATATGCAATTAGCCCCACTAAAATATGTATATATGAAAAAATGAGAGAAAGGAGGGCTAAATTTTCAAGAGGCTTCAATCAGAGATCCATTTGTGCGTTTGCAACTCTGCACATAAAAACTCCAACTTGCACATGCATTTTGTCTCCAGTCATGCTTCTGCTAAAAGCACTGGGAGTTTACCACTGACTTCATTAGAAACAGACCAGACCTGTGTGACATCCAACACTTGTACACACAGGTGACTGATTTACACATCTAAATCTTATCACCTGTGTGCATAAGTGTTAATGACTAATATCAAAGGTTCACACTCAAGCATGCAAAAATGGAAGTCATGTTTTGAAAATTAGGCCCAGAATATAATAGTCACATACCCTTAGTGTAACAGTTGGAGTTAGATAGATGTAAAAAAGTACTTTATAAAAATCTGTATTTTGAATTTTCATATTGTGCATTATTTGCAATAAAGTATTATGATGACAACATGCAAAGTGTAAACATGGAAACATCAAGGTTATCAAAACATTGAACAGTAAATCATGCAGACGGTTAATCACAACATTGGATGTTGCTGTATATATCCAAAAGTTTCTTTTTTATTATTTTTTGTAGTTTTTTTTTTTTAAATAACCCCCATCTGAAGTCCTGTTAGCTTTACTCTCGGGATTTATTGCATCCATAAGTCACCACCGTGTGCAACAGCTTTGCATTTTCTAAGGCACAGTTTTAATGAAATAATATGCAACTTTCTATTAGAGAGCAACAATGTCTTAAAATTACAACATTGTACAAATGTTTTCAGTGACAAAGTATTTCTGCATGAGCACGCAACTTGCATGCAAATAACTGTCTAGCATTTTAAATAAATAGATGCTATCAATATAAACACTTAGAAAAAAAATTATTGCTCACCTAATATCCACTTTATTTCCTTTTACCAACACATCAAAAGACAATGGATGTGTACATATTCTGTCACATACAATAAGGAATCTCTTAATTTTAGTTGATCATGGTTTTAAGGCAGAATAAATAGATTTTTTCCCCCATTTTTAAAGAGCATCTTAAGCTGCTAAGTGTGATGCTTTCGAATAATTTCTCTTTATCAGCCTGCTGAAATTCACCATGTAGTACAGTTAGAAACCAGTACTGTAATATTTTACAACTGTAATGTGTCAGCTAAAATGTGTCTATATTTTTGATCTCTACACCCACAGCTCCAGTTGCTGTTTCAGGGAGCTACTGGTACGCACTAATGGGAGAATATACTTATTATAATGCACAGGGTGCAACTGACCCAAATGCGCTTAACAGTTTTTGTGTTTGTTTTGTAAAATGTTACAGATTGGACCTCATCCTGCATTCTTTATACACTCACAGTCACCCCGAGTGTAATGAGAGTTGTATGTACAAGGAACACAGATTCAAGTCCACTGATGTACTGCACTGAATCACAGCTGTTTATAGTTTGACACATTCTAATTATATTGACCCTTTATGGGACCCAAAGCAACCTGTCTGGTTTGTAAATGAATTTCTACTATATAGAATCTCATTAAGGTATCAGATTCATAAGATCTTCTAATTCATTTGTAACAACTCTACTGGCCATGAGAAAATTACAAGCCAATAGATCCCCTTAGCTGTACCAACAACCCACCACTGCTAGATTCAGCTTCATCCACGCCAGCCCCCCAAGAATTTGGTAGTACTGTATAATTCTGTACACGTTAAGAAAAGATTTCCTCTTTATTATCCTACTGGGGATTTTTGCAATTGCTAATGGCATACACTCTTTCAGGCTTAATGAAGGAATCTTTATTTGATAGACTATTAAGCTATATTGTTGAACATTACTTGATGTATACACACACTGAAAAAAAATCCTGATGCTAAAGGTGCAATAATTTATTTGTATAACTCCTACCCTCCACTGAAGGTAACATAAAACAAAATGTTTCAGAATTGCAGTATGTATTATTAAACTAGTGTCTTTGTGTAAAAAAGCTAAAGTTTCAGTAAGAACAGAAAAGTCACTTGTGATGTTTAGTTTTGCAAATGCACTAATTAGATGCGATCTTTAAACAATTTTTCATCTTGAATGGACATATTCTAGAACTTCCATAACAGTTCTGTGAACTTAATTTTTTAATTCCTAGAAGTATTAAAACAAAATAGGTTTATTGAATCTTTTCTGACTTTGAAAAGAGCAAAACAACAGATTTAAAATCATAAACTTGTTTGAAACTATGGAAAGCCTCTTTTTTAATACTTCAGATATGAATTACCAAATGTTCTTCGTACATATTATGCAAATTCACTAAGAAAGGGAAAAAAAATCATACTGTGCTTTAAAGTAGCAGATGCAGCCTTTTATAGGAGCATTACAAAATGAGATGGGAGCTATGAAGTCCATGGATACGAGCTCTTACAAGTGATTGTCTGGAAGCAGCCCTAGGGACATGATGGGGAGGCTCCTTCTTGCAGAAAGTTTTTAGGACTGACATTCCTGTCACAACGTTGTTGGCTGCCCAGCAGCTAAATTAAAAAATAAAAACATAGTAACCATTACAAAGGTGACAAATCTTGACACTTTTTACTTTTGAAACAATGGAGTACATAGGATTTCCCTCATGTGACATTTATATGCAAGAAATCCTGGCAAGAGTTTGACATCTCAGTAGTGCCCCTAGTTCTATAGTCAATTAAGGATATAAATTAGGCACCAACTTGGGGGGGGGGGAAGGATATAAATATTGGCCTAGCAGGAATATATCCTTTATGTTTGAAAGACAAATGATCTCCTTTGCACTGCTAGCACATTCTGCATGCACTTCCAGCCAATTTACACACAAAATTATGGTAGAACAACATAGCAGAGGTTGATAAGTCATCTTTAGCCAATTCCATTGTGCCAATTCTGCATTATATGACTGCACACACTGATCAGAAGCAGCCTCCTCCTGTAGCCAGGCAATACACAAGTTAAAGAAGAGGGTTAACTACTTTGCCTTAGAACTTCTTTGTCAGTGTCACATGTATAACATTAATGATATGGACAAGAATATTTCTTTCTTTCCTTTCCTTTTTTTTTAAAGTTCATCTGTATTAATTTTTGTTCTAAAAAGATAAGCTATCTATAAACTGCAGTCACTTATTTAAAAAAAAATACCCTAGCCACTTAGTTTTCTCCCTAGAAAAACAGAAGACACATTGATATACATATTTTTTGTATGTAAAGTTTCTAAACTGGTGTATTCATTATGAAAAAGTAATTTGGAGCTTCAGGCAAACTTCTGGTAGGCAGCTGTTCTGCAAGTGTGTCCATACCCCTCTCAGCCTCTTATTTGCACAACTTCTGGTTAGTGTAAGAGCACTAACATTGTAGTATCCTGTCCTCTATTTCAGACAAATGGTCTTCCAAATTTTTTATATATAAATAAAAGCCAGACAAAATACAGATAAACTATTTCAACCGTTGAAGGTCAACAAAATCAATCCCTCTAGAACCCCTACACTTGGACTATTTGTCCACTTTTGGAACTCAAGCACAAGTGGGTAAATTTTAAAAATTTTGAAAAAAATAAAAGCTCCTGAGCAGAGACACTGCAGAAACAGGCCAATTTTCAGTTTAGAAAAAACACCTGAAGGTAAGCTACGAAATTCTGAAAATAGTATTTGTATTACCCTAGCACCTAGGAGCCCTAGTTATGAATCAGAACCCCATTTCACTAGGCACTGTACAAACACAGAATATGAATTTGTAATGAAAACAAAGAACCTTAAATCACATATGCACAAGTGACATCTCTGTAATACATTGTATTTTCTTCTACTTCCTGGCACAAAGTTGTAACAAAATTGCAGAAGAGAACTGCTACCTCACATATACTCAGTAATAATACTCAACAGTGCCCTCTCTTGTAAATGGGACCACAACCCTCTTTCCAAATAATAAATAAATAAATAAATAAAAAATTGGGAGAGAAGAAAAAAAATATTGAATTTTATTCCAATTTTTATATATAGCTAGAAACACAGGTATATACACTTATGGCCAGTTCCTCACCAACTTGAGTAAGATTTTGCATGATCAAGCCTATAGATATGAAGAAGTATTTCTAAGTTTTCTAATGTTGTTTGGTTTGATATAAGGTGCCTAAAAGAGTTTCATAACAGAAATAAAAGAAACTGTGCAAATGAATGAGAGGCTGTACAACAGCACCCTCTATGTCTAAGAATATGGAAATATTTCTAAACTCGAAAATCAAAACATTAGGATTGAGTACAAGTTGTGGGTGGACCAGAGTATTTTTGTTCCTTGATTTATAGAGCCAGACTTTTTTTGGGAGGGGAGGAAATAATATGGGGGAAGGAAGAGGACCCTGTGTTTTGTCCCATCAATAGCAAACATTTCCTGGATATTCAGTATTCAACAGAAATTTCAGATCAAGTCTAGGGTGGTGTCCTGTGTTTTTCTCCACACTCCCTTCCTTTCATGCAGAGTAAAAGTGAAGTGAATATCCTATGTATCTGACTATGTGCTGGGAGGAGGGAAAGGAAGGAAAGGGGCTAAAAATTCTATAGTAATTTGATATCAATCATATGTAGATGGCATAGTAGATAGGAACAAAATCTGGCCTACACCAAGTGGTAGCAACTCTCCAATGACAAGTGAGAGATCCATGAACAGGAATCTCAAAGACATACAAGGTCTGAGTGTGCTGCAGAGGCCAGGTATTTAGTCATTAAATGGGATGGCATGTCTAATACTTCTTAACAGGGACCCTTCTGCCAATTAAAGAGCAATGTTCATGGGCTCTGATGTCCTTTTTGGACAGAAAGAGGATCAAAGTGGGGCAGCGTGGTGGTAGGGATGACCAGACCTCCCGTTTTTAAAGGGACAGTCCCATATTTAAGCCCTCCCACAGGTGTCCCGACTTTTTCCTAAAAACGGGCAAATTGTCCCGCATTTTCTGTCTCCCCCTCATCAGTATTGGTGGGTCCTGCTGCTGGCCAGATCCCTGCTTGCCAGCCTCCCACCCACGAGCGGTGAGTGTAAGGGGGGGTCCAGTGGCCAGTGATAGGGGTGGGTGTGGAAGGCTGATGGCGGGGTGAAGATACAGCGCACGGGGCCATCTGCTCTCCCTGCTGGCCTGTCAGCGCAGCCCCTGCTGCATGCTGGCTCTCAGCCAGCAGGGCCCAGCCCCCATCCCGTTTCCGGCCGGCGCTGGCTGTGCATTGCGAGCTGTGGTGGCTGGTGAGTGCAGGCAGGTGCCAGGCGGCGGCTGGTTACGTGTCGCCTCTGATGCCCACCCATCAGCCCTTTATGTGCTTCCCCTCTCACTGTCCTCTCCCTGCTTTGCCCCTTTACCCCCCTCCAGCCCCGCTGCTCCTCCACATTCCCCCCAGAAGGAGGCATCCAACTCCCAGAGCTGTGCGGAGAACCAGCCTCTGGGCAGAGTGCTCAGCTCACCAACAGCCTGGCTGGCAGGCTCCTTCCTCCCCCCACAGCCTCTGGCTGGGCCGGCACCCCAGGAAAGCCCCAAACCCTCTGGCTCTGAGCACTAGCCAGGAGGAGCCGAGCCCTGCATTTGCCAAAGCTCTGCACAGCGCTAGTACAGGGCAGCCTCTCCACCCCTCAGCTAAGCTCTGGAGTGGTGGCGGGGGAGGGGGGAAGGGGGAGAGTGATTTCCAGCCTGTTCATGCCTGCAGGCTCCACAGCAGCCCCCAGGGCAAGGGCTTAGCACCCTCTTCACCCGCCCCTCCCTCCGCCCTGGGTTCTGCCCCAGGGAGCAAGGGGCTGCTCTGTCCCCTAGGCACCCTCTCCTGCTGAGCCACCTCTCTGGATGGTGGTTCACTGAAACCTCTGCAGTCAGGTTCCCTGGGCCCTGGTGCACGATGAAGCCTTAGGGCTTAACCCCTTCCTGCCCACGCTGTAACCAGAGGCAGCTGGGTTATATTGGTGGCCAGCAGCAGCCTGGAGGTGTTAGCTGCCTTTCAACGCTGTGCGGGTAGGAAGGGACAAGCTGCTTCCAGCCAGGGGGAAGAGATGAATTCTGCAAAGACATGGGCCAGGTCATCTGTTTCCTCCCTCCTCCCCTGTCTTGAAGCAGCTCCCATCCCTTTCCTCCCAACAGTGCTGAAAAGCTGCTGCTGACCACATTCTGGTGTAAGCCCTGGCAGAAATCTGGGGGCGGGGGAATTGTGACCCTGCATGCTCCCCCTCATGTTGCCTCGGAAGGATGCGGTGCCAGGAGAGGCAGGCCTGTCCCGGGGCCAACCCAGGCATGGATGGCGGAGAGTGCAGGGCAGGGAGGGTTGGGTCAGTTGGTCAACCAGGAGTGTGTGTCACCTCTCCCCATATGTGTGTATAGGGGGAAGGTGTGTGTGTGTGTCACCTCTCTCCCCATGTGAACTCTAAAGCCTTAAAGATAAGAAGGTAAACAAAAAGAATCCAACTACACAGTGTTTCTTTTTAACGGAGGCTCAGTCAGCTTGATGTTAATTTGAATGTTTGTACTGCATAGTTCTGATTGATTGCCGTTGAACTCGCCTGAATATCAGTAATTGTACCAGGTTTCCTGTATTCAGCAAAGGGAAATATGGTCACCCTAGGCAGTGGTGAACACCTTCAAGGCTGTTACACAGGGAAACTTCCCATCCTCTCAAAAATATGAACAGCAATTAAAAACTGAGTAAGTTTACAATACCGAACATTATTCATGCATTACATTGCAAAGCTAAAATAAAGACCGACTAGGGCAGAGAGATTTTTGATGGCAATTGACAGTAACAACAGCTTAATATTGTTATGTTACATATGAACATATGCACAGTTAGTAAATAACTAAACATCTTCCAACAAGAATGACAGGATTAACTCTAGAATGTAGTGTGGAAGGAAAAACACCATGGACACCTTAAAATGCAATCTTACCTTATATTTTATCTTATCTTAAAATGCAATCTGGTACTTACTTCTGGATCTGACGTAACAATCATTGCAGTTGAGAAGACCATTTCTAATCCTGACATCTGTTCCACTTGCTGCATCTCCAAGCTCTCCCTTGCAAATTCCACACTATTGGTTGAAGAAGAATGGAGAGAGTAAGGTTTATGGGACAGGTTTCTTTTTCTCTATCTCATTTTTTCCAAGGTTTGGATTTTCATTTCATGAGTTCCTTGTGAGGTGAAAAAAAGATTTCCTGTGGTCTAAAAGCAGGGTTTTCAGAGCACGCTACATTTAGGGCGTGATCCCATAAGTCTTCACTTAGACTAAATGCACATTAAAATTAATAAGGATTTTGCCTGAGACGTTACTATAGAACTGAGCCCTTTGTGACAGGCAAACCTCAGAAAGGTCAGAGGTTGTAAAGATGAAGATGGTTATTGAAAGCTTATCTGAATGTATGCTGTGTAAATCAGGCTGGAGATGTGAGACCAGGTGTTCTCTTGAGATTTCTAGAAATCACCAACTTAGCTGACTGAGAAATACCATAAGAACAGTCTCTCTTAGACTAGTTCTACTTGAGGTCTTGGTGAAAATCAGAAAAGCACATTCATGAAGACACTGGACAATGCCTGCATGCATATCCCTTTCTGAGGCAGAAGCAAATTTCAGTTTGAGGCAAAGGTTAGATTTGGTTTTTATTTTAGAGGAACAGGTTTGTCCACCTTTACTTATATGCTGCCTCCTTTACAAAGTAAAAGCTGGGAGCAGCAATTTGGGATCTATGGGATATTTTTGATTAAGATGTTGGTTAAAAAATTCTGCAATCGTTTTTCAGCTACCTAGTTAATATCATCATGGAGGCAATTTTACCTGTTTCTTCCCATATATAGTAGGAAGAAGAAAAAATTAAAAATCATTTGCATGTAACACAAAGGTCACAAAGTACCAAGTACATTGTACTAGTGCAAACATTTGAAATGGGAGCAAGTGATGGAATGTTTAATGCGTCTTCCTTCCATCCAACACTTACATTCTATCTAAACAGAGATCTTAAACTGTTTAGCAGCTAATTAGTAAGAAGTCTGTTCAAATATAGTTCTCTAGAAAAGCGTCGGCACAGTTTCAAACCTCAGTGACTGGGTCACAGAAAATGTTTCTTGATGTAGGGTTTGCTTTGCATCTCAATCTCAGGTGTGCTGAATAGCCAACATATACTTCACAAGACAATGTGTAAAAGAACAGAAATTAAAGTGACAGGTACTTTATCTAGCTATAAGCATTTCTAAACTGACAGAGTATAATTCATATATAATTTTTCTAAGATGCTAAGCAGTGAAGGCTCTCCAAGATGAATTTGATCACTTGAAAACGGGTGGGGCGAGGGAGTTGGTCACAATTACTTTGAAAGATTCATTTGGTAAATTATTTAAGCACAGTTCATCAGATACCAGCATTCAAATATTTTATACTTGGGAAATGACATGTAAACTGGACATTAACCAGTGTTCTAACTTCTGTTATTTGAGATTGTGGAATAATATCTGCGCAGTTACTTGCTAATAAATCACAGGTCTTGGTTCAATTAATAGAACCCTTGATGTAACTAATTGATAGGAAAGAAACAAATTTACAACCATTCTAATTCCTCTTCAATACAAATGCATAACAGTGGTGCAGAATAATAACTTCCTCTTCCTTCCATTTCCAGTGTTCACGATCACTAATTACAACATACTTTCTTCCCACAGTAACCATGACACAGGTAGCATGAAATCTTTTTTAAACAACCAAGATAATAATGAAGTCATACCCTGAAGCAATTAATGTGAAAATATAGACCAAGTGTTTCAATAATCATGGCAGCTCCTTTTCCAAGAGGAAGACGACAGGTAGAACATAGTTTCTTTCCACTGACAGACCTAAAAGACAATATATATTTTTTAAAAATTTAAGAGCAATATGTGGCAGAGAGCAAACAAATGTTTATGCAGTTTTATTAAGAGTGGCCTGGAAGAATGAGTGAAGTGTTGGGAGTCAGGTGATCCTGAGTTATAATCCTAGCTCTGCCACTGACTCACTGTGTGGTCTGGGTCAAGCCACTGCACCTCTCTGCCTCAGTTTCCCCATTTGTAAAAATGGGAATAATGCTTATAAACTTATCTCACAGTTGTGCTGTGAAGATTCACTTGCTAGGGGGAGATGGACTTTCACTGGGACCTGAAGTGCTTTTGATAGTCTCGCCTCCTTAAGTGTCTGTATAGTGCTTAGAAGATGTACCGCATCTACATGCCAAGTCAGAAAGAGAAGGTGCAAATTGCTTAAATATGACGGCACCGTTGATGGAGTTAAACAAAAGGAATTACTACTGTGGATTATTTTTACCCTAACTGAAGATGTAACAATCCAACTGGAAATACACGTGGATTGTCAATGTTACTAGCATAGCACACTTTTAGATAACACTGAATTTTTTTCAAGTAACTTAACAGTTAAGTTTCAAATAATAAAATAATTCAGAAACTCACTTCTCCATCAGGGAAAACTAAGCCACTGAGTTTCTGAATTATTTACAACCAAACTGTTAGCATGGCATTTTTTCAAACAATTTACCTAGGTGTGTTTTAAATCTTTCCTCAAGGCTCAGCTTTGCCATGATGCCTGTAAGAAATCATCCAGTTAACAACAGTGATTGTTGGGGGACAACTGGGAATAGCTGGTACTTACAATTGTCATTTAAAAAAATATTATAAAGTATGTAAAATTGTATATGCTTGAATATATTCCTCTCTCCTCATTCCTTCCACATGCTGATTATATTTTTAGATTTTTAGTTCTTCAGAACAGGAAGTGTGTGACTGGTTTTGTGTTTGTACATTGCTTAGCAACATGGGCCCTGATTCTGAAAGGGACCTTGTCTCTTGGCACTAGTGTATTAACAATACTAAGCAGTAATAAATCAGCCATTGGGTAGAGGTAGGAGAGAAATTTCTCAATGATTCATGAGGTTCAAATGAATGCTTTGATGTGTGTGCTTGAGCAGTGATAAGACAACATACAGTACTTACCCTTACCTTTATTTGTGCCACAACATAACAATAAGCCACAAAAGAGTGTGTATTTGTAGTCCATTGATGTATACCTTGGCTATATTATGGGAGAACAAAGGCAAATGCCTCTTTATCCACCAGAAAAGTGCATTAACGCAAACCCTGCACTCGGTTATTGCTATTGGAATACGGATTGTTAAATTTTACTTAAAAAAAAAAACAGCCTTAAAATATAGTTTTGGGTGTTTATGCAATATATCCTTCCACTATGTCAAGTACTTCCTAATAAAAAGATAAGAGTAAAGTAATAGGGAAAAGGTTACAAACAAACACATTCCTCCATCTCTCTTTTAGCTTCCCAAAGAGAAGCAATAACCAGTTGGCAACATCAGGCAGGCAGAAGTCTAAAACTAACAGGCAAAAGTTTTATGCTTTGTTCTGAAAAGTTGGCCTTAACATCCCATGAGCAGCCACACTTATAAATGAAAAATATCATGGACCTCAAATCAGGAGATCTTTGAAGAGATCTCTTAGCAGAAAAGTCAAATATCTCCAGATTCATGATATAAGGATGCTGTGTTAATTGGCATAAGATCATCTCAGAGCATTTCCATACAATCAGTATAGAGAGGAATCAAGAGGGCATAGATGAAAGTCATCTTGGTGCTGTAAGTTAGTCTCAAAGTACACTAAATCCTCAAACAGATGCCACATCTGCACGTGTTAAACCATTTTTTAGAACAAATACTGTACCACTTTAAGTGAATGTGACTTGGAATTACCAATTGCTGCTAAGATGCTGCAATTCATAAATCACTAGGATGAAACAGCCTCTTTATTACAAGCACTGAACACTAAGATGTAAGACATTTAAATCTCTACATTAAAATCCTTCAGAGAATCAGTTCTCCTGCAGTGATCAAAAATAGTAGCAATAGATTAAAAGTAAAGAATGAATTTTCAGGTAGCCTAAGAAAAGATTAACTTTGATATTTTTTTTTAATCTTCAGAGACCTGATTTTCAGGAGTGCTGAAAACATGCAGTTCTCATGGATTTTAAGGGGAATTGAAAGCACATAGCCTCTCTAAAAACTAGGTCACTCATTTGTAGACCCTTTGGGGAAGGACTATATTCACTTTGGGTGAGTCTCACACCCTGCCCTGGCCCCTTTATGCTGGGTAAAAAGGGCTAGAAGCAGTCTTAAAAGGACTCTAAAAGCCTCTGCTCCAGCTGGGGAAGAATTTCCTCAGCAAAGGAACTGAAGACAGCTGCAGGTGTCTTCCAAAGACTCCTACACAAGCCCTGTCACAGGAGGCATACTGGGGGTGGGAGGGACATGTAAGGGATGGGTGGGCATGTGGTTGTAGTAGGTAGTGTTGGAATGATTCTGGGCAGCTCTGCTGGCCAGGGACAGGCCTACAGATTTATCCAAATTACACTGGGGCAGCTCTGCCCTCTGCAACAGCCTAGGATTGGGAAGGCATAAAGGTGGCTTAAAGCCACCACCGCTTGGGTTGAATATTCTGCACAGCCTGGAAACTCCTGCTGTGAGTCTAGTACACTGCTAAGCACACTGTGGGAAATTGCTTAAAATATATTACAGCTAGACTTGCAGGGCTACATTTACAAAGAGGGATCTGAACACAGAGCACACACATTAAAAAACAATCCCAAACTAATCAAAATCTGGTTACATTAATGCTTTCAACTTTCACATTCTTCTTAATGGAGCAGATGCTATTGTGGACCTCGCTGAGGAAGCAGAAACACTGGGATGGGCCTGGGGCAAACTGAAAGTGTAATTGCATTTTAACCATTTTAGTCTTCTAATTGTATCCAAATTAAGTCTATGCATGCAAACATAATTAATTTTGATTTATTTAAAGGCATTTTGCAGGATACAAGGTAGGGATATAAATATCATTTAAAAAGTTAATGGCTTAAATGATTAAAATTCTACCCTTTGAATGGTTAACTGATTAAAAGGAGTGGGGCTGGGGTTGCTTTGGCTGGCGAGGCCAGGGCTGGGGTCATTCAGCTGGCTGTGGGGCAGCTGACCAACTGGCAGGGTGGGGCCGGGTCTGGCGCTGCATGGCTGGAACCAGGGTCCGGCCGGCAAGGGCGGGGGTCTCGCATGGCAGGGCCAGGGTCCGGCTGGTGGGGCGCGGCTGGGGCCAGGGCCAGGATCGGGCCGGCATGGTGCAACTGGGGGTTAACAGTTAAAGTCGGTTAACCAGTAAGCTTAATGCTTACTGGTTAACATTTTACATCCCTAGTATAAGGTGGCTCAGTGGGATAGAACACCATTCTCCTCTAGGTCACAGATTCAAATCTAGTCTATTACTGGCAGGGATCATATGTTATTACCACTTCATAACTATTTATTGTTAGCCTAACATATCTGAAATCTAGTTCCTAGAAGACCTGAATCTAGATCTCTAGAAAGAAGCTTCATCATAATCACTACCCTTACTGGGAGTATCAGCAGAGAAGCCAAGTATTGGGGTTGAGAGGTCTCTGGAGATTAAGACATCCAGGCCAACGTTGAGTTGCAATGTGCAGACTGCTGTGTTTTGGCATTCATTACCATTTCTGGTACTGCTGATAGAGTACTTCAATGACTAGTGTGAATCTGACATCTTCCAGGAGTCCTAGAAATTCACTTAAAAGTTCAATTAATAACAAAAACCTAGGTTGCAATGCTTAGTTCTCATTTGCCTGCAAATTCAATTGCTGAGGGAATCCTTAGATTAAAAATCATTTTAAAATAGATTTCATTACAAAGAGTGAAAATAAAAACTGAGTATTTTACTCTGCAAATTGGGTCTCCAGGAGAAGAATTAAAAAAAAAAAAAAAAAAGCCAAAGAGCAAAAACATGTCACAGTTCTATTTTTGAAACAAACACTTGTTGAGAGGATTGGAATTTTATTAAAAAGTGTTTATTTCTATCAACCATGGTAAAGTGAAGCATTCACTTGCCACTGATTTTCTTCTGATTGCAGAAGCAGTTGGTTGAACAAAGGAACAAGTGAATTTTAGGCACTGTGGGTAAAATTTTCCAAACCACCTAAGCGATTTAGGAGACTAAATCCCATTTACAAAAGCGACTTGGGCATTTAGGACCCTAAGTCTTATAGAAAGTCAATGTGACTTAGGTTCCTAAGTTGCTTAGACTGCAACTATATGCACAAACACTGTTTCCTATGATTTAGATTTTGCTCTGCAAGTGAGGAGGTTTTTTGTGCAATTACATATGCAAACATCTCCTTTTTCCAATACATTCATCACATTACATTTTTGAAAATGTAACCCACACTGTTTTATCATGTTTCTGGAGATAATTTGATCCTCAGTGCCAGAAATCACTATGTTTCCCTCAGCAAATGCTAATTTAAGCAGTAGTCAGATTGCCTGCATTTTGGTACCCCTTTCGGAATACGAACTATAAAGCTTTCAGTAAGCTTCCTCCCTTTACACCAAAGTATAATAAAATGCAACTGAGAGGCTACACAATAAACCTTAAAGTTCGGTACTGCTAAAACCACTTTCCTATATAGACAGAAATATTTTAAGATTCACTCCAGATGCCCCATTTGTCCATAAAAATGAAAAAGTGGCCACATTTCATTTCTGGAGAAAAAAGGAAATAGGAATTTTAATTGGAATATGTGAAAGTAAGTATTGTAAACATGGCAACACTGTTTTCATTTACTGTACTTTTACTCTCCCAATCAATGATAAAGCCCAGTGGAGCCTCCACCATCTTCAGTCCACCAAAACTACTGTTATGACACTCCACAAAGATCTCTTCTTGTCCAGGTCTTGGCAACCTTGATGAATTTATTCCATTTTTATCCTCCCTGACCTGACCAGCTCTTTCTCAAAGTTTTATCTTCCTTTGGTTTTCACATCTAGTTCCTCTCTTTGCCCTCCTCCTACCTCTCTGACTTCATTCAATGTCTCTCAAAGGGTCCTCCTCTCCTCCCCCCTCCATTCTCCATATGAGGGCATCATGGGACCCACTTATTCTATCATCACACTCTTTTCCTAGGTTAACTTATCTCCCCATATGGTTTTAACTATCATCTCTACACCAAAGACTTAAATCCATTTTTATTCTTCTAATCTGTCTCTCTCTCCATCCAATTCTGCATCTCACCCTGTCTCTTCAAATTATTCTCCTGGATGTCTCACCACTAATTTAAAAACTCAACATGGCCAAAAATGAACTCTTTATCCAAGGCCCACCCTATCCTGCCTCCTGTCGTCGGTCACTGTTGATGACATTGCCATCCGCCTTATCAGTCAGGTTCATAACCTGGAAGAATGGGGGTTATTTTTGCCATAAACATCCAGGCCACATCCAAACCTTGCAGCTTCTCTCTCTAACATTTGTAAGATCTAATCTTTTTTGTTTCAGTCCCTACAGTTAAAACCCTCATCCATATACCCGTCTTCCATCTTGATTATTCCTGCTCTAGCTTCCCAGATACTCACATTATCCCTTTTAAATCCATAAAAAATGGTGGTCTGATCATCTTTGTCTGTTGCTCCAAGCTTGTTGGCCACTCTTTGAAAACCCCCACTGGCTTCCCATTCTCTATCACATTGAGTTCAAGCTTCTTACCATCACCGCCAAAGGCCACACAGCTCTACTTTTCCCTCCACTTACTTTATTGTTTTACCCTGCTCCTTCCCCCATTTGTATGCTGCTTCCACAAGCAGCTTCACACTCTTCCATGCCATCCCTTATACATGGAATGACCTTGCTGAGTGAATCAGTAAATCCACTATCCTCTTCCTTCAAACCCCTCTACAAGAAATTGGCCAACTAATAAATGCAATGTAGCGGGGTACTTGGCAGAGTTGATATTTAAAGATATTTTTAAATCTGTATGTTTTAATGCCCTTCTTCTACCCTTCCTTCGTCCATCTTCTTCACTTGTAAACTCTCAGGGAGTGACTATCTTTTTGTGTGTGTTGACAGTATTTAGAATATTGTCAGCACTACCATAATACAGATCACCACCACCAAAACTAATGAGGCTAGACCAATTTTTCAGGTCTGTATATTGATTACAACGCGTAAAATATTTAAATTCTATAAATTAAGTGTTTTAGAAATAATAATCCCAGAATATTTAAAAGAAAGGTATTTTCATGTTTTTAATGGGAGTAATGACATGACATCCAGTCCCTTGTTTCCAACACACACATAGTTGATTTAGTTCAGTTAATCTGAAGTCCCTAGAAAAGGGACTCAAACCAGGGCACAACGGCTAAAACTATGAAGAAATAATCCAGAGTTTAAATAAAGCAAAATATTGTTATGAGCTCGGTGAAACCTGTTATGGGTTGAGATTGACAAGTGTGAACTCTGCTTTCTGTTAACATAATCATAAACTTAAGCCCCACGTAAGGAAAAGGAGTATGTGGCCCTGCCCAGGAGCCTTTGCTGAGTATTGTTTTTGGGAGTGGTGAGGTGACGTATGGGAGGACAGAACAGACTGGGGGGGGAAGACGCGGGGTAAGACACACAGAGAGAGCCTGAAGGAACAGCTGAAAGCACTGTGGCCAACCTTGGAAGAAACCTGTAGCGAGGTTTTTAGGTCAGGGATACAGGTGTGGATCAAAAAGAGGGCCTCAACATATTCTGCAAGCAACAACAACAACAAAAAATCCCATCTGCCATTAGATTATTAGCATTAGCAGAAACAAGAGGAGAGGTTGAAAATAAGGCACCAGTGGTTCCACTGCCAATGCAAATAGCACTGGCAGGAGGACACACTGTGTAACGAACTGTAGGAGAAATATTCTGCGTTATTTCAAATCATACAACAAGGAGAGCTTCATGAGACATTAAACCAATATAAATAAATACTAGAATCAAACACCACCCTCCATTCAACTAACCCTTTGCTAAACATTTAGTTTAGGTTGGCACTTATGTCTCATTGGGAGCTGCGTTGCTCTCTGTGTGAGAGAATTAGGCCTCTAAAAGATTACCATGAGTGTAGAGATATCAAAGGAACCAACATGTGCTTCAAGTCTGGGAATTAAGGACAGGATTTCTGTCAACAAATGTTGAAAAATGTCAGTCTCATGAAGAGCTTCCCCAACTAAGCTTAAATAAATATACTTTCCCTACTCCAGCTCGAAGCTGGATTAAATTTGAAAACCCTAAACACAGCTGAAAACACTTGAAGTGATATTTTGATACTAGTGAATCAAGATTAGTGTTGCATATAGGGGGAGAATGGAGCAATTTATAATCAAGATCCCCACACTCTGCCTCTTTTCTAGTTTTATGCAGGAGGTATTGGACATATAGACCAAAACCTGAATTGTTTTTCACTTAAATTGTGCTGCCGAAAAGCTCAACTATGTGCGTTTCACAGTACATAGGTAACAGACATGAACAACAAGAGTGGTAGCTCCCACAAAATCGGACCCTGCTGCTCCAAAGCACTTAAGCATGTGCTTAAACTTTAAGCATGTGACTAATCCTGAGCCAATGGATGCCCTCTTGTGTTATAGGTAAGCACATGCTTAAATGCTTTGTTGGACTAAGGCTTATATTATATTTGGAATTTTATAGCAATGTTGAGTCCCATAAACTAACGTTTGCACTGAACTGCATTATGGGGGAAAAGAACTAAAAATGTATGATGATGGAAAATTACTTATTGCAGGGGACATTTGAAAATACCAACAACATTAAAATAATATTAATAGAATTGAACTGCTACAATTTATCTTTGAAGTTTCCCTAAAAGTTATATTTTAAAAGAATTAGTCAGTCTTCAAAATTCCTTATTGACCTTTGGTACCTGTTGGGTGAGTGGCTTTGAGGTGTAGGAGAACATGGAGATGACAGTCCAGGCCTGAAATTCTCATGACAGCCTGTCCTAAAATACAGAAGAGAAAGTTACAGTAAGATGAAAAATAAATAAATAAATATTCTAGCAGTCTCATACGGATGAGGTAAAAATAAGCCAGAACTAAAATTTAGCTCTGCTGCTTAAATGCAATCTCTATAGTTAGTAAACTATAATATAAACACTCACTGTTATTTTGACATAAAGAAGAATATATAATTTTTTGGAGTGTCGATCTAGCAAGAATAATTATTCATACTGAACAGTAACTTCATCGCAGGCCCCCAAAAAACTAAACAACAAGAGATGCAGGAAGAGCTGAGCAAATAATTTGTAATGAAAAATTATTAGACCAATTTCACCTCTCTCTGCTCAAAAGTGGTGTGTGATCAGATCATGTTTTGCTCATATGTACTAATTATTAACTGAATAATTTCAATATTAATCCCCAGTGTGTAAATTGTTCACAAGTAGTTTGCTGTAGGTATTAGATGGCTGAAATTCAAACTAAGCTGGTTAGTTTTGATTGGACACAACTCACACCATCTGTTTCTACTCCTAGACTTAACAAATAGCTCAGTTATAATTAAAATAATAAATGAGGAAAAACAAGGGAGGTGAAACAAGAGTTATAGGTGAGGGATAAGGCATTCATTTGTATAAAAGTTTGTGTTAGCGTATATTAAACAGATCCTCATCAATGCTTCATTGTGAGCTCTAAAATATTTCTTTAACATCCAACATAGATATTTTGCTTGTGAAACTTAAGGCAAAATGTCTCCCTTACTGAGAGAGCAGAAGCTATCCTTTAGTAATGCTTATCTAGAAATGCAAGGCAAAGTACCAGAGAAACAAAGTGAAGTCAAAGTGAAGATTCAGAAAAAAATTACTAATCTTTTATTTTAAATTTCAGAATGTTGCTATATAGATATCTTTTAAGACAAAGAATATGGAAATGGAAAGTAGCAGCCAGAAACTATTTCAGCATCAGAAGAAAGTTAGTTGATATTTCACTCTTGCCTTGACTACTTTCACTCAGATTGCATTTCTTATGAAATGCAAAGATGAGTATTACATCATTAAAAGCTGAGAAATTAGGTTCTCAAAAGTCAATGGGAGTTTTGCCATTGATCTCAATGGGGTCAGAATTTTCCCCCAGGTTCCTACAGCAACGTTAACTCTGCCACTTTGCATAGTCAGTATACAATTAACACAAACATAATATATTAACTTCTATACATTCCAGGGGTTAAAGAGCTACAGAGAAGTCACAGGATTAATGGCAGCTGGGGTATGCGCTTCAACAGAGAGGTGAGTTATGAGAAAACAGGTGAAGGAACTGAAATTAATAAAGGTAGGTGTTTTGTAGGAAAACCAGGAACTAGTAACATTTATACATGGTATGATTAATCAGCACTGGTCCAACAAAATAGCATGTTTTAAAGTAACTTATGAAACACATTGGATAGCACCAAAAAGAAAATTAGAGTTAACAAAACTTCTCAAACTTTACACTATATTTTATTTATAATGCCCTTAGAAAGACATCTCATCACGGGTAAAAGGGGCTATCAAGCAAAGGTCCATGACCCACCTTCTCCTTTCGCCTGGGGAATTAGCCTGCTGGCCTGTGCTCTGATCCAGAGATGTTTTCTGTCTAACTTCTTCTGAAATGTGTGGTGACTGTTTCATTAACAACTGCTGATTCCACGACACATCTGAAGTTACAGAGTGGGGTAAACTGAATACTTGAGATAAAAACCATTTGAGAAGATTATTTTTAACCAATACAACTTGTGGGTACAAAAAAAAAAGAAGTAGTAAGGCATGGAAGTCAAACAGGCTACTGTACATAGAGAAATAAGGCCAATACAGTCTTGTTAATGCTTGTAAGAAGAGGCACCAGATTATGTTCAGTATATTTTCCAGTCAGGAATAAATACAGGAGCACTGCAGTTGAGCTACTTAAATAGGTTCATACAGCCAAAACAAAATGTTTCTCGTCAATGGTCCTGGTGCATCCAAGCTTCCAGACAACTACAAGAGTTATGTATGCAGGGTGCTGACCCACAAGAACTGGAGAGAACTAACTTAGGCATTAATAAAAGGAATGTGGGCTGTTCATGTCTGCTATTCACTCCCACTGGCCCACTGGCCCTAGCAACAGCCTTTTTTCCCTGTGACTCCCCTCTGCCTTTTGGATCATCTCATCAGGCTCATCAGCTATGACAGCCACTCAGTGGCCCACGGGATGCCCAGTGAATGTGCTCTAGGCCAGTATTTGGTGAATTCAGATGTCTAGGGAGCCTGCTAGACCTTGTCACACCAGATACCTCTTGTCTTTTGAGTGGAAGGGAGAGGACTGCTTAGGCTTCTCCTGAAGAATTTTGCTACTCATAGGTTAGGAAAGCCTGGAAAGGCCTCCGCTTGAAGACACCAACTAAATGGATTTGAGGGAGAGAGAGAAAAAGGGCCTTTGGTCTCCGCCCTTCAGAAAGGCAAGGACAGTAGAGGCATGCAGACTTTCACGTGAACAATCCAAGCATCTGGGGGTGGGGTGTCATATCAAAAGGTAGGTAACTGATCATCATCAAGAAAAGCAGAGCCCTGTTGGGCATTGAGCCATCAAGGCACTGGCGAGAGAGCTGGGAAACTTAAAGGATCAAAGGCAAGAGAAAGGCTATCAAAAGACCACTGGTGGACAAGTTGGGGAGAGCCTCAAAAAGTCTGGTTAGAGTTCAGATAAACAACGGAACTGTTGGATGTTTACCCAAACTTAAATTGTCAAACCTTCTGAAGTTTGCTTATCTCGGCTTAAAATGTGTTAGTTGAAAAGTCAGTTTTTATTTATGTGTAGAGGAATACGCTACAGGACAGTATTTTCTTTTTTTATCTGTATAGAAGCCTTTAATAAACATACAATGAAGTTCCCATATGATATACAAACCTACCAAATTTAAACTGTGAGCAAATAATAATTTAAATAGTTTAATCCCATTCTCTTACCTCATTTTTAGCGATAACCAAAGTTTCGTTACATCAAAACATGAAGGTCAGAAACTTAAATAAATTCATAAACAAAATTTACTTTTTACCATTGATCACATTGTTTACTTTTTTCTTTTATCTCAGATTAAACAATGAAAGCACACTAGCCAATTTCAGTTTTCTTTACAGGCAAGTTTTTTCACTTTCTAGCTATCCAGACCTTGTACCGGCCTTCAGTGTTTGGGTTGCAATGCTTATAATAAAAAATTATATATATTTTTCAATTCCATTAAACTGAGTTTTTTAAAAAGATATCTGAAGACAAAATTGACCTCCATATCTACAATTGAACGAATAGCTTTTAAAAACAGCTGTGTTGGAGAAATGGTTAATCAGAGAACATAAGAACGGCCATACTGGGTCAGACCAATGGTCCATTTAGCCCAGAATCCTGTCTTCCGACCATGGCCGGTGCCAGATGCTTCAGAAGGAATGAACAGAGCATGGCAATTATCAAGTGATTCATCCCCTGTTATCCAGTCCCAGCTTCTGGAAGCCAGAGGTTTAAGGACACCCAGAGCATGGGGTTGCATCCCTGACCATCCAGGCTAATAGCCATGGATAGACCCATCCTCCATGAACCCAGTTATACTTTTCATCTTCACAACATCTCCTAGCAATGAGGTCCACAGGCTGCCTATGCACTGTGTGAAGAAATACTTCACTATATTTGTTTTAAACCTGCTGCCTATTAGTTTTATTGGGTAACCCCTGGTTCTTGTGTTATGTGAAGGGGTAAATAACACTTCCTTATTCACTTTCTCGATGCCATTCATGATTTTATAGACCTCAATCATATCCTCCCTTAGTCGTCTCTTTTCCAAGCTGAACAGTCCCAGTCTTTTTACTCTCTCCTCATTTGGAAGCTGTTCCACACCCCATCTTTTTTTTTTTTTTTGCCTTTCTCTACAGTTTTTTTTTCAATTCTAGTACATCCTTTTTGAGATGGGGCAACCAGAACCGCCTGCAGTATTCACAATGTGGGCGTACCGTGGATTTATAGACTGGCATAATGATAATTTCTTTCTTATTTTCTATCCACTTCCTGATGGTTCCTAACATTCTGTTAGCTTTTTTAACTGCCGCTGCACATTGAGTGGATGTTTTCAGAGAACTATCCATGACGACTCCAGCAGCTCTTTCTTGAGTGGTAACAGCTTATTTAGATCCCATCATTTTGTATGTATAGTTGAGATTATGTTTTCCAATGTGCATTACTTTGCGTTTATCCACACTGAATTTCATGTGCCATTTTGTTCCCCAGACACCCAATTTTGTGAGAACCCATTGTACCTCTTCGCAGTCAACTTTGGACTTAATTATCTTGAGTAATTTGGTAGTGTTTGCAAATTTTACCACCTCACTGTTTACCCCTTGTTCCATTACATGTATGAATATGTTGAACAGTACTGGTCCCAGTACAGATCCCTGGGGGACCCTGCTATTTACCTCTCTCCACTGTGAAGACTGACCATTTATTCCTATCTTTTATCCAGTTACTGATCTATGAGAGGACTTTCCCTCTTATCCCATGCCTTCTTACTTTGTGTAACAGCCTTTGGTGAGGGACCTTGTCAAAGGCTTTCTGAGGGCAAGTCTACACTTACGGGTAGATTGGCATTGCTGCAATCAATGCAGTGAGTGTCGATTTAGCAGGTCCGGTGAAGACATGCTAAATCGATGGGAGATCACTCTCCCATTGATTTGCGTACTCCACCTCCTCAAGAAGCGTAAGGGAAGTCAACGGGAGACACTCACCTGTCAACATAGCACAGTGACTGCAGTAAGTGGCTTGCACTACATCGACTTCAGTTACGTTATTCACGTAACTGAAGTTGCATAACTTAGATCGATTTAGCGCGGTAGTGTAGACCACAGCCCTGAATGTAAGTTTACTATATCCAGTGGATCACCCTTGTCAACATGCTTGTTGACTCTCTCAGAGAATTCTGGTTGGTAAGGCAGATTTCCCTTTACAAAAACCGTGTTAATTCTTCCCAACATATTGCGTTCATCTATGTGTCTGATAATTCTATTCTTTACTACAGTTTCAACCAGTTTGCCTGGTACCGAAGTTAGGCTTACCGGGTTGTAATTGCCAGGATCGCCTCTGGAGGCTTTTAAAAAAATCGGCATCACATTAGCTATTCTCCAGTGATCTGGTACAGAGGCTAATTTAAATGACAAGTCACATACCACAGTTAGTAGTTCTGCAATTTCGTATCTGAATTCTTTCACAACTCTTGAGTGAATAGCATCTGGTCCTGGTGACTTATTACTGCTTAATTTATCAATTTGTTCCAAAATCACTTCAATCAACACCTTAATCTGGGACACTTCCTCAGATTTGTCACCTAAAAAAAAATGACTCAGGGTGGGGATCTTCCCCATACCCTCTGCAGTAAGCTAAGATTGGGAAGCCCTTCTTCTTTTTAAAAGTACAATCCTTCTTAGTGCTCTAAAATCTGTGTGCTTACATGAATTGTCTTGAAATTTGCAGTGCCTCATGGGAGTGTAGGGTAGGTTAGGGTCAGTGATCCAAATGTGGGGTCATTTGATCAAGGGGCTCCCGAGATACAGACCCCAGAAAACAAAAACAGCATTTCATTAAGTTCATACATTTTAGCAACTCTGAAGTGTGAAAGCCACCCTCAGTGGAAATCTGAGAATAAACTTCTTTATATCACAATCACAGCTCTACGATGCTCCTCAAACTAATCCCCAAGTTTCCTCATATCACAATTACCGATCTTCCAAGTTGCTCCAACTATTCCTCTGCTATTCAATACAGCTACATCTAACATAGTGACTGCAGCTGGAGTTCATGCAGTTAATTCCCAGTGGCTATTGCCTGCTTCAGGGGGCAGAGTTAAGTGTGCATGGGTACCTTGGCTGTATTTCCTGGTTTTCAGAAGTTTGAGTTTTGCTTAGCTCAATGTTCTGGAAGGGATCGAGCTATTGCTAGGCAACCGTTTCTTTGTCTTAATGAATTTTTTGTTATTAAATAATATTTGCAGGATATACTTTAGATAACTATTGTGCACACATAGACTTTGATTATTTAGCTTCTCAGCTGGAGTTTAAGTGCTCAGCCTTCCATGGCATGTAATGCCAAGGATCCAAAGTTCAGTTACCACTTAAACTCATTTATCTTAGCTTGTACTAAACAGATTTTGAACCTGGGAAAAGTTTAAATCCCGCAGCAATAACACGGATTAAATTATTTTGGAAATTTGCAATTTCATTTGACTAATATTCTTGATTAAATCACTCTATGAACCTGTGAAATTTCCTTGACAAACACAAACAAACAAAATCAATCTTTGGACTGTTTGGAATCTTACCCTGAGTCAATGGTAGATTCAGTATGGCATGTGAGCTGTGCTCTGTCACTGACACCTGGTGATCCTGCTCACTTCCCCTCTGAAGAATAGTCTCTGGATGTTCTGTGGGCACTTTATTTACACTGCTAATAAAAACAAATCACATTGTATACACAAAGCTAAGAGGAATGTCAACTAGAGTGTCATTTCATTATTGTGCTTTAGTATGTGAACCTCTTATGCTCAAAAGGTATTTGTTTCCGTGTGTTAGCAATAATAGATCGGTGTGGGTAATAATCATGAACTGGCAATAAATTGAGATGGTAATCTATGCTGACTCTCCTTGCTGGCCTGACATACTGCTAAATACAGGCCCTGAAGGCCTTTCTGTAACAGCATCATAGAATGGCATATTTGACAAAGCAACAGCTATTATGTCAATGGTCTTGCTCTTTGTATAACGTTAAGCCTGCTCAGGAGCTCCTTGTCTTTGTGAAAGCAACAGCTACCAGCACTGAAAATCCTGTTCCTTGTCAATCCGTCTGGCCAGTTCAGGAGTGAAGATCCTGGTTCGGTGAAAGTGGCTATTGCTACGTTGGAGATCCTTTCTTAAACTAAGAAATTAGCACATAAACACACTGCAATACTTGTGAGTTAAGATTGCTCTATACATAGCATACCTGACACACAGACATAAAAGCCAAGAAATGAAAAGGGAAAGTATCTAAACATATCTGCCATAGGGTGGCTTCCCCATGGGCTGGAGCTTCTGGGTCTCAGCCAGACGAGCCCTACCAGAGGGGAATCAAGTAATTTAAATACAGTATAAAAGGCAGCAGGAACCTGCAGGGAAGGCCTGGTGAGAGAGTAGCTGAGACTGCCAGAGGTAGAAGGAAGCCTGACAGTAAGCTGAAGAAAGCTCTCCAGGCAGGGAGGCCTGGGAGAGACCTGCCCAAGAAGCAGGGGAGAGAGGTCTACCTGAAAAGGCCTGGGGACAGGGAGAAGAACGAACTCCATGCAGGAGGCACTGGGAAGCAGACAGACAGACACACTCTCAGATAGAGGGGACTGTGCCCAGCTGAAACTGGGCTGAAGTCTGCATGAGTTTGTGTTTTGTTTTGAAATACTTTGTGTTGGACTACTGGGAGAGAGACACTGGATGAGGGTTGGAGCCTGGAGGGCCAGTGTGCACCTGAAGACTAAATAAATGGAATCCCTTGGGATTGTCTGAATTACTTTTTGAACTGTGCGCTCTTCAAGGAGCCCTGAAGAGACAGGATTGCCACAGAAGCAGGGTGTATGGAGCAACCTCTGGCCACAAGGCGGTGCTTGACAGGCAGTAAATAGCCCCAGCAGTACAATATCTTTTACTCCTCCACCCAGAGAAGCCCAATTCACCACTAGAAAAGCCACTGTACAACACAGACTACACATAAGAACCTTAACCCTGCCTCAGTAGGAATGTCAGCCTTCCAGCACCCCATACCCAAACATGAGTGAGTGTGTTGTTCCAGAACTATACAGAATAGCTAGAAAGGGGAACGGGGTCCGGTAACTCCCTGAAGGATGCACCGCTCTTCCTTAATGAGTGAGGACTTGGGAACTTCCTAAAGGGGTGCAGAGGGATGGCACTAAATGTAAACGTATACATCTGGAAACAAAGAACATAGGCCTTACTTACAGGATGGGGGACTCTAACCTGGGAAGCAGTGACTCTGGAAAGGATTTGGGGGGTCATGGTGGATAATCAGCTGAACATGAGCTCCCAGTGTGATGCTGTGGCCAAAACAGCTAATGTGAACTTAGGATGCATAAACAGGGGTATCTCGAGTTGGAATAGAGAGGTTCTTTTATCTCTATATTTGGCACTGGTACAAATGCTGCTGGGATACCATGTCTAGTTCTGGGGTCCATAATTCAAGAAGGATGTTGGTAAATTGGAGAGGGTTCAGGAAAGAGCCCGGAGAATGATTAAAGGATTAGAAAACATGCCTTATAGTGACAGACTCAAGGAGCACCTACTTAGCTTAGCAAAGAGAAGGTTAAGAGGTGACTTGATTATAGTATTTAAGTACCTACATGGGGAGCAAATATTTAATAATGGACTCTTCAATCTAGCAAAAAAAAAAAAAAGACTGGAAGTTGAAGCTAGACAAATTCAGACTGGAAATAAGGTGTACATTTTAATGGTGGAAGTAATTAATCATTGGAACAACTTACCAAGGGTCATGGTGTTTCTTCATCACAGACCATTTTTAAAGCAAGATAGGATGTTTTAAAAAAGATATGCTCTAGGAATTATTTTGGGGAAGTTCTATGGCCCATGCTAGACAGGAGGTCAGACTAGATGATCAGAGTGTTACCTTCTGGCCTTAGAAAGGGATCACAGAGAACCAGAAAAAGAGGAGAGTGAGAGACAGAGGGTTTCAAGAGTAAGGGAAAGATGGAAAGACGGGAACAGAAGTGAGAAGACAAAAATGAAAGTGGAAGGTGGAAAAGACATTGGGAAAATAATAAAGAAATTAAATGAGAGGAGGTAAAAGCAAGGAAAGATAACCAAGTATTGTTTTAAAAGTATAAACATTGATACATTCCATTGTATCTTCCCAGTAGAAAAGAGGGACCTCAAAAGGTCAAGTGGAAGTCTGGTAAGGGTGAGGGATCTCTGGATTGATTACAGATTGAAGGAGCTGAAGAACAGCTGAAGACAGATTGCAGGCCAGGGTAGCTTTGTAATATGTAGGAATGGAGGTTAAAAGCACTTCCACACCCCCAGTCTGAGCACAGTACATCAAAACAATTTTGTTATGAGCCCAGATGACAACCTTACAAGTACATTCACTTGTCTAAAATTCCTTGATTAACCCACACCTTTTCTTTTCCAGGCATGGCTCACTTTTCTTGTTTTTGGCTAATGATGCACCCTTCTGCTCCCAGGGTAATTTCTGCTGTCTTTTAATTTCCTTTTGTTTCTCTTCCTCTTGAGAGTCACTCAGTTCCATCATGTTCTACAAAAAAAAAGTGAGATAATAGTAAAGATCCTCACCTGAACTTAACTTCAGAACATGCATGAGAACAATACAGCCTGTCCCTCAGTTTACTATATTTGTTACACATAAAGGAAATTCCTTTGAGGAAAAATGAACTGTGTTACATAAAGCAAAAGTTATTTGACCTTACTGACACTGACCTTGGATTTGATTGGGACAGTGTTTAGAAAAATTAACATGATTTTACTGAACTTGTAACAAGGAAATTATGGAAGGGCATTTCCTCTCCAGAGAGCACAACATTTATTCAGCACAGAAGCCATACGTGGTGCCAATCGGAAGATTGTCATTACAGAAGGATAATGTGACATTCAAAACACGGTTACAAAATTCCTCGGGCTTCCAAGTTAAGCTTCAAAAACAAAGCTGGTCAATACACTGTCACGGGTGAGGTGTTTTTGAGGCACCCCATGGGAAGCAAAATGAGTATTTATTCACACGCTCCATTGCCTGAGAAATTCAGTAATTGAGTAGAATGTGGTCTTCAGTACTGAAATACAGTAATAAATTAAAGGTACTGTCTAGCATAGCCTTCAGGATGATAAATGCTCATCTCCTTCTGCATTAGAATGAAAAAAGAGAAGAAGCCATGTGGGGGATCTGATTGAGAGTTTACCAATAGCTACAAGCTAGACTTGTCTAGTCTCCCAGAAGTCAAAACATAGCTATTCTTGATTGCTGTCATGTACCAGGGATGTGCTCCTTACCCCCCCATCTGGCCTCCCTGTGCCTTGCAAAAGGGCCAGAACCATATAAAGGAGTCCTAAAACCCCTGTAACCAGCCATGGGAGGATCCCCCCAGCACAGGTATTGTGGTAGGTAGTCATAAGGCTGCCTCTTGAAGACTACCTCAAGTCCTGGTGTAGGGGGTGTGCTGGGGTGGGTCCACAGCCCACAGAGCTGTAGACAATCTGTGCAGCCCAAGGAGGCTACCAGAACTTTGTCAGGCCCCCAAGGCCGTCTCCACTGCCAAAAAAGGTGTTTTTACAGCAGGATAGCAAATTCAAGTTAGCTATCTCACGGTAAAATCCTAATGGAGACAACCCACTATTTTTTACCTCAAAGTAGCTAGCTCAGGTCAAAGCCATGTGGGGTGATTAAAGTGTTGAACTTGACAACCTCCAATGAAGTAAAAACAAAGTGTGCCTTGTCTCTATTAGAATTTTACAGCAAGCTCTTTTGCAGTAACCACACCCTGTTTTGGGCAGTGGAGACCATGGCCTAGTTGAATGTGTCAGGCTAGCCTTTTGTGGGCACTGGGTGCACAAGGAGCCATGGGAGGATCAGAGTCTGAACATTCCTGTATTATTTCCATCTTGCTTTAGAGAGAAGTGGTTCCATGTTTTAAAGGAAAACTTTAGATTTCCTAGGCCTTCGCATGATAGTCAAAGTAGATTGAAATACAAGGGTGACGTCTGCCTGCACCAGTCAAAGAAGAGGGGAAGCAATGAGGTGAGTAATGCTCACCAAAGAAAGGGGGAGGAACGGGAACACACCATCTACTTTTAATGGGGAGCTGTGGAACTCCTGGCCCCTTTTACTTTAACCCTGCTCTTGTCTAAAGTAGGATGGTGGTAGCTTGCTTTGGGGTTTGGCTCTGTATTTATAATAACACACTTTATTTACACACTGTATAGTGCTTAGAGGCTTACAACTGGGCACATTTTTATCAGTTAAAAGTGAACTACGCTTATTGAGAAGTGCTTTTAAAAGTAAGATGGGGTGCTTCATGAAACAAACTGCCTTTTATGCCATTCTTAGACCCTACTGATCTTAAGGGAATGATCTAACTCCACACTGAACATAGTTTTGCCTTTACTGCCCCGTTTTCATTACCTCCTAGTTTACACTCCAGTTCTGTCAGACACTCACCATTGTCCCATTTCCTTCAGTGACAGAGGAAGAAGTGGAGAGGGGTTCAGCAGAGCTTGAAGAAACAGTGAACGGAACTACAGTATCCTCAATTATCTTGCGCTCCTAAAGGAGAGGTGGGAGCAGGAAGGAGGAAGAGGAGAGATTTAAAAATGAAGCTTGCCAAAGGAACATTGGATAAGATCTTATTTCTGGGGGAATTCCATGCCAAAAATTAAAAATTCTGTGCCAAAAAATTAAGAATTCTGCAAAATTCTGCATATTTTGTCAAAATGATACTCTATAATCATGCCAGTTTCAATTATTTTGGTAATTTATTTCAAAATATCTGTCAGCAAGTATGTCAGTAACAATGTAGACCAAAAATAATATTCTGGTAATTTTTTTGACAAATAGATTCCTTAGTAGGCATATTAATACAGAACTTCGAGTAATTCATTTAAATTACAATACAGAATTGTATTTCCTGCACCAGTGAGAAGCAGTGCAAAGGCTTGCGAGTGTCAGGGGCAGTGGAGGAGGTAAGGGAGAGCGAACGACCCTAGAGTGAACCAGGAGCGTTGTTGGGGGAGAAGTATGGAACAGATTTTTTTGTGGGGGCAGGGGCAGGATTCTTAGGGGGTCGGAGAGCCTCTCCCATGCAGATTCCAAGTCTCTCCCATTTAGTCAGGCACATCTGTCCCTGTCCCCACAGCCCCGCTCGCGCATCCACATGTGGCCATGCACCCCCACTCCCATTCAGTCCTTGGCTAAATGCTGTCATCCCCACTAGCTCCTGAGCCCACGCCCTCGTCCGTCCTCCTCCACTAGCCATTCTGAACCCCAGTTTGTGACCCCCCCCAGCAGCCCCACTCTGTCCTAACCTGGCTCCACAGGCTAGGTGCTGGGATGAACTTTTACTCCTGGGGGAATTCTGTGCCACTGCGTGCACACAGATTTCTTTTTCCCTCCACAGAAAATACATTCTGCCCCAGATGTGCTGCAGTTCCACCTTTTGCCCACCAGAGGCTGCTGTGGCATCAGAACAGCTTACTGCATTCATGCTGTTAGCTGTTCTGGCACCAGAGTGGTCTCTGGTGGGAGAAAGGTGGAACAGCAGCACTTCTGGGGCAGAATGTATTTTCTGCAGAAAAAAATTAAATTCTGTGGGGCACATGAATTTTGAGCATGTGCAGTGGCACAGAATTCCCCCAGGAGTAAGATCTTCAAAAGCAAGAGTATAAAGTTAGGTTTAAAAATCCATATTTAGATCTCTAGGTAAGTGGCCTGATCTTCAAAGTTGCTGGACATGGAATACTAAGCTACTAGACTCAATATCAAATGGCAGGGTGTTTAATTGATAGGTGTGTATTCCGTAAGAAGTTTTTCCTTTTCTCAGTTTTAAATTTGCTCCATGACTCTAGTCATTTTCATTGCCTTTCTCTGCACACTATGTACTCGTGTTGTATCTTTTTTGAGATGCCTTAACCAGAACTGGATCCTGTATTCCAAGTGAGGATGTGTTACTATTTTATATAATGGCATTGTAATATTTTTCAGTATTATCTTCCATTTCATTCTTCAACTAGGACAGAATTATTATTATAAAATTAGCTGAAGTTATTCCTTCCAATGTTCATTTCTTTAAGTTTGCCAACACTGAATTTCATCTGCCATTGTGCTGCCTATTTGCCTAGCTTTGTTCGGTCTCCAAAGCTCATCATAATTTTCTCTAGTGTACTTCACCACCAGCCCCATTATATGAGTATGAATGCCAGTGTGTCATGGGTGGTAAACTGGGGAAGTCATGACTGCTGCTGCTGGCCAAGTACATGCTTGTGTTTATTGATATGCGCATCCATATTGGGAATGCCTGTCTAATGTCACCTTAACCTATTCTTCTGCCTCCTCTCTCCTACATTCCTATGTCAATTCATCTGTAGCATAGACAGATTTCCTAAAATAACATTTAATTATTTTTTAAATAATGCATGGTGGCTAGATATTATGGTGATGGGTGCATGAGAAATGCAGAGAGAGTTCAGAAAGATGCTTTACCTCTCATCAGGGTCATGAGTATGCCATTTACTACTCAAGCAATGAGTATCCGATGTTAATCTGCCTAACTACTGTACATAAAAGTATGATTAGAAACATACAATGAATGTGACAAGACAACTTAAGAGACATAAACATTGTTCAAGCTAACTGCACCACTGAAACAGGACAAAGGGATGATTTGAGCACAGGACAAAACAAAGGCATGGAAATTAAAAATAATTAAACTAACAGTGAGCTTCTGACATTTCCATTGCCGAGATGTAAATTCTCTAACATAAAGGATCATCGTAAATGGTTAGTCTCTAAGTGACAGTCCCACTAGCAAAACACTTTAAAAATGCATAGAAGCAAGATACCCCTGCACTGGAACTGCAAGATCACTTCTTAAACTTGCTTCTTTTGAACATTATACCTCCTCATAGTATCTACGCTCCTCCTCTTCAACTTCTTTCTGTGCTTTTTCCCATTCTTCTTTCAGCTTGTCCTGCTCCTTCTGGTACCTCTCCTGTGCAGAATTTCAGTACAATCTATTTAATAGGAAACTTAATAGGGGGTTCTTTTTATCTGTTTCAATTCAATGGTTAAAAGACAGTATTTATGTTCTGCAATATTTGCTATGTATCAGGAAACTGGACCCACTAGAAACTGGCTCATCGGAAAACAGGCATGCAATGTAAAAACAAGAACATGAACAAACTTCTCTTCCTTTCCCTCCCAACCCCTGGTCCCCTATGGAAGTTTTATGTTGTTTAGTACTCTTAGCTTATTGTAAAGCACCAGGGACACTTAAAGTGTTATATCAAGTCTGACTAGTTAGGAGTTTTCAAATGCTAGATGCTGTTCAAAATGAAATTTATTTTCAGCATTTAAAAACAACCATAGCTTATGAGGAGCTGAAGAGTTCTGAAAAAAGCTATCAAAACACTCCAATACATTTAAAACAAGGATTTTGCATTAATCATTGGCTAAAATAGCTTCTGAATTTAACTGGCTTTGTAAATATTAGCTTTGGCACTAATCTAATAAAGATAAGCTGCTGCTAATACAATTTAATGAAAGATGAAAAACCATGTAGGCTCATACGATAAATAGACAATGTATAAAGGTCAGAAGTGGATAAGATGATGATTAGCTGAGTAGTTGGTTTTCTTCCTGGATGGGATTATTTCTTGAGAATTGAATCTCCCCAGCTCTGCATGTGTTCTGAATCAAAAGAGAATCTCTCAAAGAGCTCTTTAAAATGCTGTGGTGTCAAAACTGTCTTATCTGTATTGGAACAGCAAAGTCACACTGTTTCCTCTGCACTTTGGTTGTAACCTCCTTCCTCCAAAATATTGTGCAAAACAACAGTTAAAAATACCGAGAACACAAACCCCTGACCCATAAGAAATTTGTTTATTATCAATTTGATAACCAGGCAAACCATGCAATCGACTCCACCTAATATGATTTAATTTTGGAATGGCGTAAACAACAAATAGAAATAAAAATGTACGAGGTATAAAGAGACTAAGCTCAAGAATGAAATACTGGTCAAAAGCAATCTATTCTTAAATATGGAAACCTGCATTTTTATTACCTTCCACCTCAAGCTTCTCTCCTGGTGCAGCAGCACTGCTATGGGTACCCGCATGGCCCCACAGTATGCCAACATTTTTGTGGCTGACTTAGAACAAGACTTCCTCAGCTCTCGTCCCCTAACGCCCCTACTCTACTTGTGCTACGATGATGACATCATCATCATCTGGACCCATGGAAAAGAAGCCCTTGAGGAATTCCACCATGATTTCAACAATTTCCATCCCACCATCAACCTCAGCCTGGACCAGTCCACACAAGAGATCCACTTCCTGGACACTACAGTGCTAATAAACTATGGTCACATAAACGCCTATACTGGAAACCTACTGACCGCTATACTTACCTACATGCCTCCAGCTTTCATCCAGCCCACATGATCCATTGTCTACAGCCAAGCTCTAAGATACAACCACATTTGCTCCAACCCCTCAGAGACAAATACCTACAAGATCTCTATCAAACGTTCTTACAACTACAATACCCACCTGCTGAAGTGAAGAAACAGATTGACAGAGCCAGAAGAGTACCCAGAAGTCACCTACTACAGGACAGGCCCAACAAAGAAAGTAACAGAACGCCACTAGCCGTCACCTTCAGCCCCCAACTAAAACCTCTGCAACGCATCATCAAGGATCTACAAGCTATTCTGAAGGATGATCCCTCACTCTCACAGATCTTAGGAGACAGGCCAGTCCTCGCTTACAGACAGCCCCCCAACCTGAATCAAATACTCACTAGCAACCACACACCACACAACAAAAATACTAACCCAGGAACCTATCCTTACAACAAAGCCCATTGCCAAAATTGCCAACTCTGTCCATATATCTATTCAAGGGACACCATCACAGGACCTAACCACATCAGCCACACGATCAGAGGCTCGTTCACCTGCACATCTACCAATGTGATAATATGCCATCATGTGCCAGCAATGTCCCTCTGCCATGTACACTGGCCAAACCGGACAGTCTCTATGCAAAAGAATAAATGGACACAAATCAGATGTCAAGAATTATAACATTCAAAAACCAGTCGGAGAACACTTCAACCTCCCTGGACACTCAATTACAGACTTAAAAGTCGCAATTCTTCGACAAAAAAATTCAAAAACAGACTCCAACGAGAAACAGCAAACTGGACACCATTAAATTAAGCTTGAATAAAGACTGGGAGTGGATGAGTCATTACACTAACTAAAAACTATTTTCCCCCTACTGTTACTCACACCTTCTTGTCAACTGTTTGAAATAGGCTACCCTGATTTTCACTACAAAAGTGTTTTTTTGTTTGTTTTTTTCCTCCTGCTGATAATAGCCCACCTTAATTGATTGGTCTTGTTAAGAGTTGGTATGGCAACCTCCATTTTTTCATGTTCTCTGTATAGAGATAGATAATCTTCCTACTGTATTTTCCACTGCATGCATCTGATGAAGTGGGGTTTAGCCCAAGAAAGCTTATGCTCAAATAAATTTGTTAGTCTCTAAGGTGCCACAAGTACTCCTCATTCTTTCTCCTGGTGCCATCATCCTTGCTAGGAAAGAGAACAAAAGGCTTCCTTGGAGCCAGTCAATGTTGCTCTCTTGGCTCACTGTTGAGTGACATGAGGAAGTTTCAACTTCTCTCTTTCCAGATTGGAAAATAGTGCCACTACCACGGTTCACTCAGTCAGGACAGGAAATTAGCCCCCCCAAGTCTCTTACATTGCTTATTATACTACTAAGCTGTACAGAGAAAGTTTCCATAAGCCACTTTATAATGGACAAATTTAGCTTTGTCTTCTTAAATTAGGACAACTGTAAACAACAATCTACAAAATCTAACAAAGTAATTGTTTGTAAACAGTGTTCTCATATGCACAATCTTGAAGAAAAACTATCAAAGCAATTAATCAATACATAGCTTGTTTTCTGTGCGTTAAATATAGACCTAATGTACGGTATGTATTTGGTGGCTATTCCTGAATCCCTGAACTAATGTTCTTGTTAAAAACAAGATAAAAGTGGAAGTCCCACCTGATGCCAGAGAACAACAAAAACAAAACAACACCCAACAAAAACAAACAACCTCTCTCTCTTCCTTCCCCCAGGATTTGTGGAAAAGTTTTGGAGAGATTCTAGCATTTTACTCTTAATGAGCTGGTAGTCAGGGGAACCAAGTTGGGTACCAAAGAGCAAGAGGCATTCAGTGTCCTCTTCCATCCCCATCCAAGATGTGTTTCTATTTTCTTTTACCATCTTACCAGCCAAGTATAGCGATTCAGGGCACAGATAACTTACGACTGGGTTTAGAACAGGGTGAAATCAGTGATAGCTGTATACGTGTGCATACACAGGGATTTACTAGTTAGCCCATCTCTAATAGTAAGTGTGATCTGGGCACAGAGCACATGCTGATTAGGAAAGGTCATTATGTATGGAACTGATTTACAAGTTCACATATTGTACACAATCCTATTTGACAGAAGCAAAACAGAACACTGAGAACTAAACCCATAAAAGAGTTAAGACTGTTGCCATTACAGATGTGGATAGCCATACATCAACTCACATTAAGCCATATGCTGTTTCACAATGTTTTACTTTTGTATTTTAAAAAACAGCATGCCTCTGAAAACAAATCCTACACTGAACAATGGCATGTTTTTGAATTAAGCTAAAGAAAAGCAAACAATGCAAATGTATTTTTATGGATAATATGTTTTCATGAAGTATATATTTATTAAATTCTATCATTTAAAACTATGAGGCACGATAAGGTATTTCATAAACCAAAAAATCACTTTTGATTTATATCAATACATTTTATTCCACTCCTTTAAGAAATAAAATTAACTTACTGTTTTGTCAAGCATGTGAGAGTAAGTTTTACAAGCATTTGCCACAAATTAAGAATTAAATTATTCATTTCTGTTCTTTTTATACATAAATTGAGCAGAAATATTTTTAAACAGTAAATTTAAATACTGTTCACATTTTAACCAATTAAATTCTTTCATGTGTTCAGTATTATCTTCAAGCAATTTTAGGTTTATTTGATGAATATAAAATATTCAGATTTGAAATTAAATTAAAACAGTCATGAAGTGAACTGTACTGCTCAAGGTCTAACAAGAGTGATAATTCAACTGAAAAACAAGTAACCAATAGTAGGAATAAATTTAGTAGCACATGTACTTGAAGCAAGCGTTCCTGTTCTTGCTGCCATCTTTCCTGTCGCTTTCGTTCCTCTTCTGGATCCCAGGACCAGAAACTGAAACACTTAGATAAATTGAATGAGGATATTAGGATCTAATAATATACATCACAAGACAATCCTAAAAAGTTGCACAATGAAGTCACTTAAGCTATTCTACCAATTAAGTGAAAATGTTAAGCTACAAGTGGAATTCAGATTTATAATTGCTTCAATTTACAGTACTTCTCATCAGTATGCATCCGATGAAGTGAGCTGTAGCTCACGAAAGCTTATGCTCAAATAAATTTGTTAGTCTCTAAGGTGCCACAAGTCCTCCTCTTCTTTTTGCGGATACAGACTAACACGGCTGCTACTCTGAAACCAGTACTTCTCACGGTTAGCTAACAGTATTCCTAGCTACACCATCAATTGGAAATAGTTTTATTTCTGCAATATATACAAGTCACAGAAAAATCATTTGGTTTGCAAATAAGAACTAGGAAAACATCAGATAGAACAGGAGAACAGAAGCAATTGAGAAGAAATTCCAAGGGGCATTGATCTACTTATACAAATATACCAATTTAGTAAAGAAAAACAACCAAATGCTTATTTTTCCTGAAAATAATCCTCTGATGCCACAACTATCAAAATAAATTATCACAGAAGAACAATGTTCACATATTTCAGATCTTGGACACCATATCCAATCTCAAGTCTTGGCTTAAGATATTATTTATACTGCAATAACATCCACAGGCCCCAGTCAGATCAGGGACCCACTGTATGATGCGCTAAATTTTTTTCTTTAGAAGTTGAGGCCTTATGATGTAAAATATCTAATTACTCTACATTATGAGTCCTATGCACTCTCAAATGAGAAAAAATAACGTCTATTTTCAGATGATGAGCAGTACATGGAATACAGGATGTGCTGTGTTCAAATATATGTGGGTTTCCTTGAGGGGTAATGGATTTTGATCTGTTGATCATTTCTTGTATGTAATAATTTCTTTGCAAGTAATCAGAAGGAGCGTACAAACAGTTATGGAGCCCTAGAGCTAATGGAATTATTCATTCTCAAAGGTAAGCATGTATGTAGGATCCAGACCAAAGTGAATCCACACATCATAATTCTGCATTTTTCCTAGTTAAGGGGAAAATTCTCCTCTCAGTTTAGACCTGTGCAATTGCACTGATGCTGATGGGACTGCACAGGTGTAACTGAGGACAGAACTTAGCCCCATATTTGTTTAAAAGTGTATGAAGTGTTTTGGATCATATTTCTTTTCTTTCAGTTAAAAGAGCTGAGTTTTCTTCTTCCTATTTGAGTCTATTTTGGAAGGGTTTTCAAAAGAATCACTGATTTAGTTGTACCATCATGCAAATCTCTACACTAAACACACTACTATTTTGCTATTAAGAACACTGCAAAGAACTTACTTACATTTGACTTGTCACTATTATCAGAGTCTGCTGCAAAAAGAGAAAAACAAAAATTAATCCCCCAAAATATTAAGATTGTCAAATATGCTTTATCTTAATTTAAAATAAAAAGCCGAGTCACAACTGTATAAAGAGGAAACTACCAATTCAGTAGTTCATAACAATACCTGCCCCACAACTAGCAGCAATGAAAAATTACGATACAACAGATCAGAGAAATAGATTGTACCCTCCACCAACAAAAATACTTTTGATATGGCTACAAAGAGCATAACATCAACAGTAGGTTCTAAGCTACCACTAGCTACTGACGACTACTCTTGGTCAGAGTCATTAGCAGTGTCTGAAAAGAGTGTTATCAAATTTAATTTAACTTTTCCTTCACTATTCAATGTGGGGAAAGAAAAAAAGCAGAGCAAAGGTAGGACATATCAAGAGAAAACACTATTCGAGTGTCACAGTTACCAAGAGAACCACTGCCATTTTCTATTAAGTGCCTTTGCGCTAAACTGCTTAAAAACAGATGTAAAGTAAAAATAAATTTAAAGGGAAATTATTATTTTGGTGTCTGAAACCAAAGCATTATATCTGTGTGTAATCCAACAGCTCTTTGCCAACTGTGCAACAGGAATAGGCACTTTCTATGAAAGCAGACAGCAGAATAAGTACCAGTGATCATCAGCTTTTGCCCCAGCACACATTTTAAAACACCTACTACTCAGTGCAGCGGGAAAGATGCAGCTAGTCCCAGCGCATCATTTACCTGACTGTGAGAAAAACTGGGAGCGTCGCCAGGAGTTCCGAACCCTAAGCGGAACACTGGCACGGCTGGGTGACTCTAGAGTGGATGGCAGAATAGAAACAAAACAAGAAATATGACACCATGAAAAGAAAACTGATTACCAGGTAGATGTGAACTCAGTGACCAAATGGATTTTTAAATTAATTTATTAATCGCTTTAAAGGGCGGTTGATCAAAGCTAGTTTGAGTTCCATTTTCCATGGTGATAAATTAAGAGGGTTTTTAGTTGAAATGCTATTAGTATTTACAAGCTGTTGGTGTGGTACACTTCATTTAAATGTCCTCTAACACACTGGTAAAAAGAAGAGGAGTACTTGTGGCACCTTAGAGACTAACCAATTTATTTGATCATAAGCTTTCGTGAACTACAGCTCACTTCATCGGATGCATTCAGTCTGTAGCTCACGAAAGCTTATGCTGAAATAAATTGGTTAGTCTCTAAGGTGCCACAAGTACTCCTTTTCTTTTTGCGAATACAGATTAGCCCGGCTGCTACTCTGAAACCTAACACACTGGTGTAATTAAAGACATTTTTCTCCCAGTCAGAATTCTACATTTTTTAATCTTATAAACTCATCATGAGCTTTTATATATCATACATGTTTATGTTGTCTTGTATTTGTTTGACTTTCTCAGCACCATCTATTCTATGTGGGCTCCAGAGCACGAAGAACTTCAACATTACTAAAAATGTTAACATCTACATTCTATAACTCAATGTATGGCTGCTCTCTTGTTTAGTTTAATTTAACACTTAAGTTGTATTAAGGGTGAAAAATCTCCCAATTTATTACAAGTTCAATTTCTACTTCCACTCAGGGTTGTTTTATTTTCCACAACTGCCATCTAAAGCAATTTCAGTCCTGAAAACAGCAAGAAGGGGGAGAAGTCTTTGCACTACTTATACACACACCGTTAAAGCACATTTAACCAAAGGTTTCAGGGGACACTAGAAGGTCAGGTAATTCTTGGGGTTGCTTTATGATTTCTGTATGGTATATGTACTATATTGCACACACAATTAAAATCTGCATATCATGAGGATAAAAAAGGAAATTTTCATGATTTACAGCAACTTCAAATATTTGTGAGGTAAACTGAAGTGTGTGCCAGATCTATGCATTGTTTTCATTCACTTTAATGGGAGCCACACGTGAGCAGATGAGGACAGAACTTAGATCCAAACATTTTTATCATAAAAAGAGATTACTAAGCTATTTTCATCTTAGAACAGCAGTACTAGTAAAATATAATACCCTTGAATAGAATATACCCTTTAACTCAGTGTCAGATATATAATAGTGCCATCCTGGTCTTCCTGACTTGTGCCATACATCGGCTGTTGTATTTAAGGAAGGTAGTGATAATAGTGTAATTATCACCACAGAATTATGCTAACAATACTAGGACAGAAGCAATTGTTTTGGTGAAAAATAATTATTTCCTTTAAAAAGTCTGCTTACTTACCTTGCATAGTAACTGGAGTTTTGAAACGTGTGGCCCCCTTGTGTATTCCACGCAAGGAGCGCACATGCTCCATGAACCTGAGACTGGAAAATTTTTCATAAGCAGTGTCTGCTGGTCTGTGCCTGTGCGCATCTCCTCCTTGTACTCTGAGCAGAGGGCATAAGGGGCCGTGATCAGCTTTCTAGTTCCTCTCTACTGTGAAGAGCCTTAGGATAAGGACTTAAAGCACAGGGGAAGGAGGGCAGGCAGTGGAACATATGTGGGGACCACATATCTTGAAGAACTCCAGTTACTGTACCAGGTACGTAACGGGACTTTCTTCGAGTGATGGTCCCTGTGTGTATTGCACTCGAGGTGATTCACAAGCAGTGTTTGTTGAGAAAGCAGGTGTGAGTAACCCTGCGTACCACAGACTGGAAGACCACTCTGCAGAAGGATGTGTCTACAGGAGAAGCTTGTGCCAAGGCACAAAGGTATGCATAGAGCCCCATGTTGCCACTTTACAGGTTTCCAGAAGGGGAACATCATGAAGCGAAGCTACTAATGGTGCCTGGGCTCTGATTGAGTGGGCGCTCACACCTTGTGAGGGGTCATTGCCAAGTCATAGCAAAGCAGGATGCATCCTGAAATCTGTCTTTGCTTCCCCTCTCATACATTCAGTAAAAAGAGAGAGAGAGTTAATGAGATTCCCTGAAGGATTTTGTCCTCTGCAGGTAGAATACCAAGGCTGGATTGACATCCAAAGTGTAGCTTCTCTGGCAGCATGGTACTTTGGATTGAAGACAGGTAGGTGGATGACCCACTTCAGATGGAATTCCAAGATTTCTGGAATTAAGTTAGGATGTAACCTCAAGGAAAACCTTATCCTTGTGGAAGACCATATAGAGGGTGCCCAGCTTACCTACTCTTCTGGCTGAGATGACTGCAACCAGAAACACAACCTTCATAGACAGATGAGCAAGGAACATGAAGTTAAAGGTTTGAATGGAGAATTTGTTAACGCTGACAGGACTAGATTGGAGGTCCCATTGGGGAAGGCTTGAGTACTGGAGGAAAGATTCTGACCAGTCCCTTCAGAAACCTTACTGTAGCAGTATGGGCAAAGACTGAATGGTTGTCCACCAGAGAATGAAAGGTACTAATAACTGCCAGGTTTACTTGCAAGGAGCTGAGAGGCAGCCCTGACTTTTTAGGAAGTGGAAGTAGTCCAGAATAGCCGTGACCTTGGAACCCTAGGGGTATCCAATGATGCTGGCACCATATCGAGGATCTTTTCCATTGTGCTGTATAGCACTTTCATGTGGTGTCTTTTCTGCTATTGCTAAGGATGGATTGAACAGCTTTCAAGCATGACCTCCCTGAATTTGTCATCTATCCAAATACCAACTTGTTAAATGGAGAAATGCCGGGTTGGGATGAAGGCTCTTGCCTTTGCCTGCAGCTCAACAGATCCAGGAAGAATTGGATACAGATGCACGGTGAGAGGCGACCTGGACAACACCAGTGAATCAGAACTGCCTCGGCCACCCAGGAGCAACTAGGATCGTTGACATTTTGTCTTGTTTGATCTCCCTCAGGATTCGAGGCAAGAGAGGGATGGGCAGGAATACGTACATCAGCAGTTCTGACCATCGTAACAGAAATGCATCCCCTCTGGCATTGTGGCTGGTCATAAACATACAGCTAAGGGTAACATAAAATCCCTCCTGGGTAGCCATACTGAATCTTTACCTGTAAGGGGTAAGAAGTTCAAATAACTTAGTTGGCACCTGACCAAAAGAGCCAATGAAGAAAGAAGATACTTTCAAATCTGGGGCGGGGAGGGTTTGTTTGTGCTCTCTTTGTTTTTGTTCCCTCTCTGGACCGAGAGAGGGTCCAGGCAGGAAAAACATCTCCTAGAAACATTCCTGAAATGAGCATCTAAGATTACAAAAATTGTAAGTAAGGCAAGGAAATGCATTAAATTATCTTTTGTTTCAGCTTGTGAATTTTCCCTATGCTAAGAGTGAGTTTTATTCTTTTTTTTTTTTTGTAACTTTGAAGCTGAGCCTAGAGAGGAATTCTCTGTGTTTTAAATCTTTTTATCATCCTGTAGAGTTACCTTCCATCCTGATTTTATAGAGGTGCTTTTCTAAAAACTTTTTTCTTTATGATAAAGTTCTTCTTTAAGAACCTGATTTGATTTTAGTGTCTTAAAGATAAAGGGTTTAGTCTGTACTTACATTAAAGGCAATTGGTTGGCATATTATTCTCAAGCCTCCCCAGGAAAGGGGGTGAAGGGGCTTCGGGGGATATTTTGGGGGAAATAGGGACTCCAAGTGGTCCTTTTCCTGAATTTTTGTCTAAATCACCTGGTGGTGGCAGCAATACCATCCAAGACAAGGAAAGGATTTGTGCCTTGGGGAAGTTTTTAACCTAAACTGGTAGAAATAAGCTTCGGGGGTCTTTCATGCGGATACCCACATCTGTACCCCAGAGTTCAGAGTGGGGAGGGATCCCTGACATGACCCTTGGCTGCTCAGGAGCAGAAGCACAGACATTTCTTGGTCTCTTGAGATGCAAAGAGATCCCACAACAAGAGTCTCCTCTGTTGAAAGATACACCGTATCACCAGGTCATGTGGCTCCCACTTATGGTCTGTGGAAAAACGTTCTGCACTCCTGGATGGTGCATGCTGAGAGGATTAGTCCTCGAGGGAATGTAACGATTCATCTGTTTTCTCACTGAATAGGTTATTTTCCTTGAAAGGCAAATCCTTCATGGTGGATTGAACTGTGGGAGTTCTGGGAGGACTGGAACTAGGAACCCTGTCTCATAACCAAAGATGTTGCCATTTAGCAGGAAGTATCTTCTGAGTCCACCACTCACTTGGATGGTACAAAAATATTTCTTCTCCATTCTTTTTGGAGTAGGAGTGCTAAGTGTCTGGAGAATCACAGACTATCTTGGCAGGTTCTAAGATGGCCTTATTGATTGGTGCCACTTTATTAGGACCCACATTGTGGAGGATATCCAATAACTTGTGAGGAGTTCCTTGTACTTCCTCCAGGGGCATCTAGAGCATATCTGCAATTCTCCTCAGGAGGAGATCTTGGAATTGTCTCTTGTTACCCAGTGGTGATGTGACCACCTCATCTGGTGAGGACAATGATAATCCAGCAGGGACAACTGGCTCCACCTGGTTGATCCTCTTCCTCAGAGTGCTCTTGAGTGGGGCTGAGGTTCTTTTCCATGTGGGGATGCCTGTCTCAACTCCCATTCTGTCCATCTGTATTCCGGATGTCTCATACATAGATCCCAAGGACCCCAAGTCCAATGTGAGGGATCATAGTGGTAAAACAGTGGTCCCCACAGAGAAAAGGTGCCACTGTCCTTGGGCCACATAGTCTCTCTTCTGTAGGAGTGGGAAGGTGCCCATAAGATTTCTGAGCCTTTATCAGGGCTGACTTCTCTTGTCTTGATAAGGCTGATGAAACTCCCACACTGATCCCAGATTCATTGGAGTAGTACAAGGCCTTTGTGTCAATGGGCAGTGCCATTAGTCTTGGTGGTCTTACTATGACTTGTCTGGTTGATGGTGTCACAGAACCAATACTGTGCTCCCTAACACACCAGTACTGGGGCATGGAGTCTCACCTGACATTGAGGATGTTGGAGAGGAGGTCTTCCTGAATGAACATTTAGAGGGGGATTTCTCACATTTCTTGTGAGAGTGTTTGCTTACTCTCCTCAGGTCTGCCTTGTTTGTAAGAGCCCTCAGCTCTGCTCCCAGCATAGTCCCGGGAGCCCAGGGCAACCATGTTCAAAGAGGAACTTTTTGGTGCTTCTGCTCAATGTAGGGTGACCAGATAGCAAGTGTTAAAAATCGGGACCATGGGCTGGGAGGTAATAGGTCCCTATATAAGAAAAAACCCTGAATATCGGGACTGTCCTTATAAAATCAGGACATCTGGTCACCCTAGCTCAGTGTACAGTGTGGGGGTCAGAAAAGCCAAGATCAGACTGGGGTGTCATTGAACAATCCACCAGGAATTTTCTAAACTTGAATTCATGGGATTGATGGGTTGTTCAAGGGAATGACCAGCACACATTGCCCTTGGAAGGGTTATGAGCTTCACTGAGGCTATATACACAAATATCGTGATCATCATGGATTGGGAAGGCCCAGGGGCAGATCACAGAGATTTTGAATCCTGGGCAGTGCTTGGGCATGGTAGCCACCCCAGGAGGGTGTCAGGGGGCCCCTGGCTATATTAAAACTACACTTGCTATTGAATTAACTATCTAAGACAGGTAAAACTATACACAATTATCTACAAGTAAAAAATAAATGCTAGCTAAAGTTGCGGATGCTGAAGAAGTGCAGTCTCAGATCATGAGCAGTAGAAAAAAAACTGGAAAAGTGGCTGATCTAAACTGCCCCTTATGCCTTCAGCTGGGAGCATGAGGAGTAGAAGGCATGGGGCAGGGACCAATGGACATTGCAAGTGAAAAATATTCCAGTCTCATACACATGGAGCACACGCGCACCTTGAGTGGAAAACGCATAGAGATCATTACTTGAAGAACTGTAGGTCAAAGGACAGCTATTTTTCTTTTGACCCTTCTAACAAATGTTTAAATACTACCCAGTTAAATTTCTACAATGCTACAGAATACTCCTGTTTTCTTTTGCCTACCTTGTTGATCAGAGTTCTGCAGAATAACTTGGCTGGTCTCAGGTACTTTCTTCAAAAATGGAAATAATATAACCCCTTCTTGTTCTGGAGCACTTGACTTCACTACCTACCCAATTATTTAAGAACAGGCATTAACATCCAGAAAGCACTATGTCTGACTGAATAAAATGCTAGCATACAGAATTAATGAGGTCCTAATTCCACTATATGACGTTTTTTCACATATTTTCGGAATCAAGTTTATGATGCTAAACTTCTACTTACATCACTTTTGTGTAATTTTGTAATATTTAAATTCTGGATTTTTTTTAATTGTTTACTGCCCCCCATGCGATTTTAGCACTTCCCTAAATACCAAGGCTGCTACTAGTCCAAAGATATGCAGTGATATACATTTCCTCAGAACAGAATCTTGTCAGACACAATCACTGTCTCAACCACATGCACTCACTGAACATTTCAAGAAGGCTTTAAGGGCAAATGTCTTTCTTTTACATTCTTCAGGTATTCTGCTTTCCTTACACACAGAAACACAAGAACTTCAGGTCTGATTCTCTGGTCTGCTCTAGCCACTTTTCTGCTCGGGGCAGGTGGTGCAGAGTCAGGAAGCTGCAACTGAATTGAGTTGTGAGTCTGAAAACACTTCTTATAGGGTGCACTGTTCAAAATCATAATTAGTCCCATTAACTTTAACTGGCCTGCTTGCAAAAGAAAATACCATGTTTGCAGCAATTTGCAAGCTTGGACCTTTGGTTTAGTGCATCTAGGAATACCAAAGTTTAGTTCTTCCATGTGGAAGAAAGAGGAAAATTTTGTACTATGATTCAAACAATGATTCAAGATTGTTCACTAACAGGCTGCTTTGAAATTCCTAGGTTAGTATTACATAAGGCAAAGTAAAATCTAGCTCATTAACACTGAAAGCACTTGCATGGCAGGTCCTTTTCTCTCCCCCTCCCATGCTCTTCTGTATTACACTACCTTCTGTGTAACTAGGATCTCTGCTTCCTTCTGTTGTTCTGTCTCAGGTTTCTTCAGATCTTTATCTTTTGAAGCTGCTTCTTCAGAATGGGTGCTAAGAGGGAACTCCACGCTGGGCACAGCAGGGCGGGCACAAGTAACAGTTGTCTTGAATTGTTTCTGTTCTGCACCTAATCCACACAACACAAGAATCAAAAATATTTTTTTCAGCATGACATAAAAAAAATTAGAAAAATCCCAGCTATGTAAGAATTGCAAAGTTTTAAGAATGCCTTTTTGTCAGGGAAGGGGAAAGAGAGGGATAAAATAAAAGGCAACTCTGATCTTTCCTTACTGAGACTTTGGAATGGGGTTGGAAATTTGATTACCTGTGCTGAAAACATCCCTCAGAGTAAGCAGAACTTATTCTCTCAAAGAGACAGACATTAGGACTGTACTCAAATGAGGATATTGCAGCTCAAACTGTCTCATTATCAATCGCGGATGGCACCTCAGATTTACCTGTTTTTTCACTAAAACAAGAAAGTGCACTGTCTTTGCTTTCCCAGTGCCTGAGCCTGGCGAGACAGAGAGATGGATGGCTGAGGCTCGGTTCACATAAAACAGAGATGATGCTGGCTGTTTGGGGAAAGGATCTATACAGAATGGCAGGGGGAGGTTGTACATCCTTCAGAAAGGTACAGTAGAACCACAGAGTTATGAACACTTTGGGAATGGAGGTTTCGTAACTCTGAAATGTTCATAACTCTAAACAAAATGTCATGGTTGTTCTTTCAAAAGTTTACAACTGAACATTGGCTTAATACAGCTTTGAAACTTTACTGTGCAGAAGAAAAATGGTGCTTTTAACCATCTTAATTTAAATTAAACAAAACACAAACTGTTTCCTTACCTTGTCAAATCTTTTTTTAGTAAACACAGTACTGTACTGTATTTGCCTTTTTTTTTTCCCCTAGTCTCTGCTGCTGCCTGATTGTATACTTCCAGTTCCAAATGAGGTATGTATTTGGCTGATCTGTTTATATCTCTGAGGTTCTATTGTACACAATTTAGGGGATACCTCTGGATCCCCAGTTACTCCTGAAGTCCAAAGGGATTTAAGGGAGGGGCAAAAGTACTCTTTTCACCTACACTTGGTATGACCATTTCTCTCAGATATGGACCGTGGCACAGTTACCTTCAGCCTTTGTTACCTCCAGATTAGATCATTAATACAATGAACTTCACTGGGCTACCATCAGAGACAACTTGGAAACTTCCACTGGTGCAGAATTTGGCCTTCCAATTGTTCAATCTCTGGTGCCTTACACTAATGCACTGCAGGCACTACATTGGCTGCCAGGTGCAATTCAAGATATTGATATTAACCTTGACTGGGATTTATCTACCGGAAAGCCTAGGCTCTCTTTTTCCCCTCCCTGTGCACCACCAAAGCATCTGAGATCAGCTTATGAGTCCTTGCTAATAGTCCCTGCATTTGAACAGCTAGGAGTTGGAGGCAGAGGGTTCTCAGTGGAGGGCAGAATCTGCTTCTTTCATTGAGATGATGGAGCTCAAATTGGTTAACCTTCAGGATGTGGTGAAAAGCTCCAACGGTTAGTCATGCTTTTGCCTGAAGGATAGGAGGGGTATAATTGTACTCTTATTACAGGAAAGTATGTTATTTACAAATAATATGAGGTAGATATTTCAGTATGCACCTGCACCAAGATAAATGGTGATTGGCACATTTTAGAAATTGAAAAATATGTTAACATGATCTTATTATGAATAAGCAGTAAACAAAAGATATGTTGGAATGTAAATTGCTTTTTGGCAACATTGCTATTAGGGAAAAGTAGCATCATAATTTTACAACTAGTTGACAAAGTCAATTTTACAACGGTCTGACCAGGAACCATATGAAAAGCCTTAAAATAGAACGTCAAGGGTGAGCACAATGTTGTTGATGCCATACATATATATTTATGAACCTGTAGAAAGACTGGCTTGAATTGTCTCGATATATTTTCCCCCCTTCCTTCAATGTATAGCATAACCTCCTGTGGGGTATAATACTTTGGTCTCATTTCAGTTGTTGGGTTTAGTGTGCAAGTGGTGTTGGTGGCTTGTGATCTACTGAAGGTCAGACTAGATGATACAGTAGTCCCTTCTGGCCTAAAACTCTATACAAAAAATATCATTTCTTGAACCAAAACCATTATTGCATTATCACTAGTTTCTACTTTTAGTACGTTCTGGGCATGCTGCATTTAATCTAGAGTTATTCATATAAAGACATGTAAGTTACAAAATGGACATAATAGGCATCAGATAGATTTGAAAACAATGTAATTATACCATTTCAGGATAAATACAAGCTCAGCATTTTCTCATGAAACCTCTAGATGTCACTGTGAATGCACTCTTCTTGAGCATTTAGAAGGGAGGAAGAGAAAAATCCTTGTAGCACAAGGATTTGTAGGAGAATATCACCAGGCTAAAGCAGTTTTGCAGCAACAAACCTGGTGAAGCAAACCCCAAATTCATCATTTCTGGCCTTCCAGCATCAGTTTCATCTTTTTGGTTGGCTGGTTTAACTTCTTCAGTGAAGGAGGCCTGCAGAGAACAATTTCATTGAAATAAAACGCCTAGAGCAAAAATACAGTTTCAGTCATTTCCATTTTGTAGTACTGGCTTCCTCTTTGTAATGCATTTGAATTGAGCCCAACAGGGGCAAAGCACTGAGTGAGTGAGTTTATGAACAGCATGGACTATTTTTGAGTTACTTAGCCTTCATTTCCTCTGCTAACCACATATCTTCTAAATGCTCACTATCATCCACTACTGTTGATAATGGCCTTGGAGCAGTCTGTAAAAAACAAAAAAATGGAAAATATCTAGAGCTGAGTTAGTTGGAGTGGACTATACATTCGACTCCATGAAATAACCTGTAGCTCATCTGATGAATTTATTAATGAATCTGCAAAACTCTCTAGGTACAAAAATTGGCAAAACAAATGAAGTATTTCCCTTATCCTAACGCTGCACAAATACTGTGTTTGTCTAAATGGAACTTCCCATGGTTATCATCAAAAGGCATGAAGCACTTGGCACATTATTAAGAGAGGATTGACAAATATGATAAGACCATATCAAGCCAGTAATCCTAATTACTGCAAAAGCCAACTTCCTAAACTAGGGCAAATCTCATTGCAGGAACAAACCCAAACCATCAAAAGAACAACAATGACACAGCTACATTATTTAACATGCTTCCACTTTATCTATAAATATATTTAATTTCCCCACTACATGGGGCAAGAAAAACTGCAATATATCAATTATACATCTGTGCAATATTTCTAGTATGTAAGAAAGAATAAATAGAGATATTCCGTAGAACAAAAAGATAAGATGCTCTTTTTAGAAACGTACTTTACAAGATTATTGGTCTATTATGAACCCAGATTTTTCCCCATTCCCAATCAAAATCCACAAGAGGAAACCTCATGAGATTCCCTCTCAAAGATCCCCCTACATTGTGCTCTTATGGGGCAGGGTTTGCATCTCTCCTCCCTCACAAAAGCTATGCCTAGTTGGCAGAGCCCAGAGAATCCCTATGAGTCCAGGGCCACTGATTCCTGCATCCGCAGAGTGAAAGCTTTAGATCCACCACAGAGGCCTCTCCCACTTGAGCTAATGGAATATCTGGCAGTAGTAGACTGTTATCTTCTATGTGGACCAATCACTCGGAGGGTAGGATGAGGACACATTTTGCCAGTGGGTTTCACAGATATTTGCAGACAGATGAGTAGTGCTGGGACTCAGGAATCATGAGTCTATTTCAGGTTGTGCAGCTTACACACTTTTTGCCACCATGCACCAGTATGCACTTTCTCCAGCCTGTTCCCCCTGCGCTCCTGTCTCCAGCATGTTTTCACCCTTCACGTATCACTCCCCCCAAGCCTGTCCCTGAACCCTTTGCATTTGAGGCAGGAAACTTTCTCCTTCTCCACCATGCCTGTGTGCCGGGGTCTCCTTTGCTCTTAGTTCTGGCTCCTAGCATCATAGCAGCAAGGAAGAGCAATGGAAGGAAAAGCCCATCCTCAGCCCAATGCTACAGCATGCTCAGTCAACTCTGTGGGAGTGGAGCATGCTCTGTGGAGAAAGTATTTGGAGAATTTTGCTGCCAGCCTCTAACAAACCTCTATGAGCATATGGGAACAGCAATTTTCAGCAGTTTATAACTTGGCAAATTTGGATGGATTTTCATGGGGAAAGCAACAGGCCACCTCTGACCCGAGCACAACCCCTGTGCTCCAAAACATGAGGTTCTCTTGTTAAAATTGTTTTGCTAATATTAAAAGAATATATTTTTCCTCTAGCCTCACTCTTGGGAACTGCTGAACTGCTTTAACTGAAGCTTTGCAAAATAATTTCAGCCTGAAGCAGGCACCCAGCATGGAAAATTTCAATGTGAATGGTTAAACTTTGGAAAAGTTATAAACAGCTGAAAACGGTATTCTTATGGAAAGTGTTAGACAACCATAACTATAAGAGTCATTGCCAGTTCCACCTATAATCTTTGCATTCAAGTAAGAAACAGATTGAACTGGTGACAGAGAAGATTTCGTCATTCTGAGCGATGGTATTGTCAAGGACACTATTTATTGCAACGCTTTAAAAATGGAGAAAAGAACTATGTGGTGCAGAGAAACTAACTTTTGTAATGGTGTTCGGCTGATGTCGTCTGTTCATGCTTGTGAGACTTAATTCTCTTCAGATGCTGAACAATGAAATATCTGCAACATCAAGCTAAATAATACTGCAAATTGAAAGATGTTTTAGAAAAAAAAAATACATACTACTAGTCGAGTTCAATGGAAAGAAACCCTGTATTTCTGACACTCTGTATGATGCTAAATAATTTAAGGTATTTCACTATTATGTTACTGTATTTTTTTCACATGGACATTGCATCTTGTATTAGAAATTCTTGAATCATTAACACAATTAATGTCCCTCCCTTTATGCTGTATATTATGCCATATTTCATACATATGACAAACATTTTTATCATAAGCCATTCCATGTTGTCACTAGGTATGAAACTGAAGCAATCTTAAAATATGCCAATATATTCCACTGTATCTAAAGTAGTATTCTATACAGTGTATTTTGACCTGAATGTGAAAATTTATAACTAGCTCTCAAGAAAGACATGGTTTTCATTTATCTTTCAATGGGTACCATCTATGCAATGCTCTCTGCACCACTTACACACAACTTTAGTGAAGTGTGGGCTGGCAAAATTGCCATGCAGGATGTCCTCAAAGCAGGCCCTGAATAGGCCAGCACAGGAAGGAGTCACTGTAGATGCACACGAAGAGAGGCCACTGGGCAAGTATTTATTCCAAGCCAGTGACAAAAAACCCCTCCCAGAGGAGGCATAGAGGGGCTGACTCCACTAGCCACTGTAGCTGGGGCATGCTGCATCTCTGCACCCTACCTGTGCATTGGAATGATGATTCTGTTCCAGCAGAGTTCTCAAAGGCAGGTGAATTCATTCAGCAAGTAATAAGGTTTTTACACTATGTCTGCATGTACATATAGTTAAACAGTAGTTAAAACAGTACAGTAGTTAAAGTTAGTCACCCTTGAGTTAAAAAGTTCTGGATGAGGCTGGAAAGCTATTTTATATTTTAGCTTAATTTGCAGTTGTGAATGAGCCAGTCATAGTATGAGCTAGCCAACTCCTCAGTCCTGCTTAACCAAGTCATACATTTTATGAAGAGAATTGAGCAACTGGTTAATAAATGTCCATTAGTGACTAAAATAAACTAATTCATTTTCTCCTTGTGACAGAGCTAGGTATGAAACTGAAGCAATCTTAAAATACGCCAATATATTCCACTGTATCTAAAGTAGTATTCTATACAGTGTATTTTGACCTGAATGTGAAAATTTATAACTAGCTCTAACAGGACTACTATCTGGCTAAATAGGATTTCAACCCATGTATACTTTTATCTGTGGCCATATTGGTCAGAACAACTAACCATATCACTTGTCCCCATAGCAGAAACATTTGTTTGTAAGAGAGTAAAAAACATATGAATCCACTAGAGTTTACATAACCAAACATAGGAAGTTGACTAAGCTACTGGGAGAATCTAAAACCAAAAAAAGTTACAGTACAGTTTTATTTATTCCTAATATAAATTAACTCAAACTACATATTAACTTACTCCTGCTAGTGCACAATGGCAATTAAAATACCAATATTGCAAATTTAATGAAATGCAGCAAAACAAGCTAGCTGGAGCCAACAAGAATGCAGAGATATTCTAAAGAAATATCCAGGAGTATTAAAAAGCAATGGGTTTTACTGAAAATTGAACTCTAAATGAGTTAGCTGCAGTGGATCTCAATAGCAATAAAGCTAGTATTAGCTCAAATGCTTTTATCCTACTATGACTGCAGTTTTAAACATAGAATTATGTTCCAAATGGAATTCTGACAGCTTTGTCAAACCTTAAAAGCACATCCTTAAAATACATACATTGCAGTATTTTAATCAAAACAAAGCTTTCATAGTACTAATGAAATTGAGCAGGAAACAATTACATGAGCAGGGTCTAACATAGGTAGGTGCCTTGCATGCCATGACAGTTCAGCACCATTGCTGTAACACTGCTGTGACATCTCTGCTTTTCTAAATCCTGAGCCTCTTTTATTTGCAGCCACCCAATGCTCTAATCAAGTCAGAAATTACCACCTAGGATCAGTCACTGGATGGGAAACCACCAAGGAAACCCAAACATAGGCATTTCTTCTTCCAAATCACACAGAATAATCTTAGGGGACACCATCAGCTGGAGATATGTGATTTGCATGATAACTGTCAGTTCTGCAGAGTTGTGCAAATTCTGCATGTGCTTTTCATGATGAGTCACAAAGAGGATTTCTGGTCCCATCCTATCCCCACATCTGTATAAGTCAGAATTCAACTCTGTTCTCCAGCAGTTAGTCTAATAATCCACCATATCTCCTTAATCTGAGCTCAACAATTTCATTTTCATAAAGAGAGAATGAGTGTTACTTGGATGGAAAAACTGTTTCCTACGCTACCAGCACTCCCAGCTATCTTCGAGACACCACTGACTTCCTGAAGAAACTACAATCCATCAGTGATCTTCCAGAAAACACCATCCTGGCCACTATGGATGTAGAAGCCCTCTACACCAACATTCCACACAAAGATGGACTACTAGCCGTCAGGAACAGTATCCCCGATGATGCCACGGCAAACCTGGTGGCTGAACTTTGTGATTTTGTCCTCAACCACAACTATTTCACATTTGGGGACAATGTATACCTTCAAATCAGCAGCACTGCTATGGGTACCTGCGTGGCCCCACAGTTTGCCAACATTTTATGTTGGACGTAGAACAACGCTTCCTCAGCTCTCGTCCCCTAATGCCCCTACTCTACTTGTGCTACGTTGATGACATCTTCATCATCTGGACCCATGGAAAAGGAGCCCTTGAGGAATTCCACCATGATTTCCACAATTTCCATCCCACCATCAACCTCAGCCAAGACCAGTCCACACA